TCACATGCCCCTCTGCCAAATCGACAATTTTCAATATTTTTTCAAACTCTCGAATGTTTTGAGTTTTTAGAGAGCACTCTTACTGGCTTCTCAGTGTCTCCACTCATTTGCATATCTTTCAATCTTCGATGGGATTGGACGCTGAATTAATGAATAAACCATCCAACATCCAATTAACTTAATGAATTAAACTTCAGAATAAGAATAAAAATTGTCAACAAAATTAATTCAAACTTAAATAAAAATAAACACATGTGTGTTTTGTGCACAAAATAAACTACATGTTTTTTTCTTTTGAATGTAGCACAAAATAAATCTGATGTTTCATCCATCATCCAATATGCAGTCATGATACTTCACTCTATCAACCAAATTCGTTCAAAATCTAATGGTTTTCAAAGGCAAAAGAAAATATATTTAAGTGTTGAAATACCAAAAATTGTTCAAACAATTTTGCGAGAAATGGGATTTGGCTGCCGTTTATCTCTTATTAAAACAGAAAGTATCGCTAAAATTGAAGAATATTAATCGAAAATTGTGAAATACTAGCTATATCAAGCTATGAAAATAAATATTCCTTCAAATTTCAGCCCGGACATCGGAGACTTAACATGACAAAACATGCCATATGAATCAACTAAAAAAACCGTGAATCAAACATCGAACAGAAAATGAATTTGTCACAATTTCCGTATTTATTAAAATGCTTCATAGAAACCGTCCAATCGTACACACAGAGAAATATTGCAATGAAAACTAGATGGCTTGTCGTATAGAATTCGGAACTAGTTGACACTCCGTATAGAATTGTATTTGTTCATATAATCATACATTGGAAGTATAGTATAGTATACCAAATGGTATTCATACCAATTGGTATTACATGCGGCCATTGCCGCATGTATAAGTCGCTTGTAAAAAGCCAAGTGAATAGCGGCGACGCACGAAAACGAAGTGAGTGGATAGCGGCAACGAACAAAAGAAAAAATATCATCCGTTGCCGCTATCCACTCACTTCGTTTTCGCGCGTCGCCGCTATTCACTTGGCTGCTTACAACTCACAGAAAAAAATCCGGATATTTTAAGCCCAGAAATCGGTTTAAATCACAGCGGAATGAGTTCTGGGTTTAAATTAACCGAAAAACCGAAAAAACGGATAAGACTTAAATTTGAGACTTTCAATGAGACTTGAATCTGTATTTCAGCGTTCGACTATCATCTCACGCATTTCTCTCACAGTTTATTTATATAATGAAAACTGGAAAAATCTTCAAATCGATTTTTCTCGCTTTTCCGATGGGAAATCGAGAAAAATAATGAAAATTCGTTACCTCCATTGGGGCCCTAATAAGGGAGTGGCAAACGAGTGCTCAACTCTCAGAACATTTTGGGTCAGGTCGGATCCACCTATTCCACAAGATTCATGTCCCGATCATTTCTTCGCGCTCAAAATATCCGGATTTTTTTCTGTGAGAAGCGACTTATGCATGCGGCAATGGCCGCATGTAATACCAATTGGTATAAATATCATTTGGTATACTATACACACAAATGACAACTAACCTCAATATGAACAATATTTGACATAAAACTCAATTTATCCGAAGTCTCAACCGTTTTGGGATAAATTTTAGTATGCATTTTTTCCGCTCAAATGCCAAAGGGATATATGTTAAGCACTTAAATATTTGAGCGGAAAAAATCTGAACTAAAATTTATCCCAAAAACGGTTGAGACTTCGGATAAATTCAGTTTTATGTCAATTTTTGTTCATATTGAGGTTAGTTATGATTTGTGTGTACTATACTATACTTCCAATGTATGTATAATTTCATACAAAATTTCGTTTTTTTGTATTCTCTTTTGTGCGGTTCTTCTTCGTTTGTCTTTTGAAGATGATCCGCACAAAAGAGAATACACAAAAACGATATTTTACATGAAGATTATATGGACAAATACAATTTTATATGTATTGTCATCTAGTTCCGAATTTTATACGACATGCCATCTAGTTTTCTTTGTAAAATTTCTCTCTGTGTATGTAAATTTAAGTGCTAATGCCGGAAGAGTGAAGACATCCAATCATTTTTTATGATAACATTTTTATCTTTAAGTATATGATGAGTGAAGAGTATTTTTATAAGATATTAGCTTCTAATTTGCCGATCCCAAAACCTAACACAGTGCGTAAGTTAAAAAAGCAGCTAATAATTCGTTCGCGTTTTTTTAAATATTAAACAGAAAGAAATTTGAACAATAATTGCTTTGACACAGTGGAAATTGCCAAGAGAATTAATATGATTCCTTTGGATGCTGGAAAAATTACATGTTTTCGATTAAACGTTAATGATATTTGAAATTGATATTAATGATTGACTCGTGACTCGCTCTACGGCCATATATACTCGTGTATTGGTTTGTATGAAATTTTCACGAGTCAGTCATAAGCCCCCAAGGGGCTGCCCCTTGGAAAAATCATATGTCATTTTGAAATTAAGTATAGTTCAATCATTTGATTGAAACTGGTAAATCCAAAAAGATAATTTTTAATACTTATTTGACGTAAAAAAATAATAATACAATTTTCCTTTAGAAGAGATAATTTTACTCCATTTGGGATTCAACATTTTCTTTACTATCACCTAATATATAACTGTGTATATTCCATGTTTGCATGAAGGGTTTTCCCGTGATAAGAATTCTACCTTTGACTCCAATTACAAATATACACCTGACCACGCTGCTAGACTCATCTCTGTTTTGTTCGTTATCAATGACGCACAGACCGACTGTCTGTGAATCAAATGAATACATGTGTACATACCGTACATATTCCACAACATTCCAATAAAAACAACGTAAAATTAATGAGCTCGTCATTTTGTAATTGATCACTGTCAGTGGTTTTAGTATAAAAACGTAAAATGTTATACTCACATAGTATAACAATATGTAGATTTATACTTATTACTTGTATTAGTATAATCATAGTGGACGATTACACGGACACAGTATACATCGCAGTGTAATGTTTATATAAATCTATTGTTATACTGTGTGAGTATAAAATTTTACGTTTTTATGCTAAAACCACGCGATCTTTTTAAGTTATGTGAAAAAAAAAATATTATATTATTTATTTTGAAAATTCATTCAGGGTTCAATGTGTTCATTAAATTCATATAGTAGATTGGAACTTTACTAAAAAAATATTATGTGATAAATGTTTCTATTCCGTGTTCGAGTGAAGGATCTGGTTTATTTTCAACTAATAACGAAGACGCCACCTAGGACAACTAAACTGACAACCAATTCAATAACAGTTTTGACACTGGTTATCACTTCGTTATTGTTTGAATTTAATAACATTGCAAGCATATAGCGTTTCCAAACTTTGTAATAACGACCTTTGATTAAATATAACATTTGACATTTCAAATTATTTTCAGCGTGTAATTTCTGTATCGATTGAAGTGCTAACAGTTTTAATTTCCCTGTTATTTCATCAAAGCTTTATTTGATATCTAATCCAGGATAGGAACTTATCAACTCTCTGAAATGAAATAGAAATGATAATAATCGAGAAGGAACTATGCAGAGCGAATGAGACATTTTACCGTATAAATGGCAGGATAATCTTTTTTACCGCACGCTTGAGGACCACGAGACACAATACCAACTGAGTATTAATAATTATTTATTATTTTTATTATTATGTTTCTAAAAGAATTGTATACATTGACGTATACTGATTTATTATAATGTTACCTAAGTATGTAATTGGTAGTGTGCTCATCAGTTTGCTATCTCTCATCAATGGACCGCCTAATTAAAATATTTAAATATTAACGACAAATTGAGAAAATTTACCTACATGTTATGTATACATTACTAACCCGAATCACCAGAACACGAATCTTTTCCGTGTTCGCCCCCAGCACAAATTTGAGTGGTTACTAATTGTCGTCCATATAGATTATTGCATCGATCCCAATTGAAACCATTAATTTCAACTTTGAGCTTAACATCACTTGACGTTCCTGATTAGAAATTTAATGATAATTCGAAATTTGATCGAAAGGATATACCACCCATCATATTTTGTTTGACATTGATATTTTTTTTTTCCCTTTAACTCTGGTTTCTGGTGATCAGTTAATTCAGATAAATCGGTGATCAGCCGATTGTATCCTACATTTTTTATAATTTTACCATATTCTATATAGTGTTGGATTTCTATTTTACGCGTCTGTGCTGAAATCCATACCTTTGTTGTACACAGACACTGTTGACACAGTATTTTACGACTACATACGATGTTCTAAATGGTCACTCATTTATCTCCTGACCAAAGCTTGTGCAGCTTAACTCAGTTGATCGAATATTGCCGCAGTAGTCGTAGTAGCGACTGTGCCCACATACTATAATATTATAATTGACATACATCAATTATAAATTTATAATGTTTGTCAAAATAAAAAATATTTGCCAGGTGTGTTCTGGCTCAAATGAGAAATTTTGGGGGAAGTGTGTAAAATCATACCATACCATTTTCCGTTCCGCCAAAACCACAGACGCTCAAATGAATGCCATCAAAGTTTTCAACTCTCACAGTTGGCGAAAAAGGTAAACATATTGGCCTGACAAAATCTGTAAATTCTACGGAATGCGATAGACGCATCAACGCAATATCATTATATTGTGTGGGTGAATTTGGATCGTAAGCCTCATGAACGAATGTTTCTAAAATGTCCACATTAACCACTGGCGGTGCACAGACTTCCTATAATAACACATAATTCGATAGACGACGTTCTAAATGATGATTTTTGTTTTTATTTCAATTTTCAAATGCATACATACATCATCATCACAGTCGATATCAGTTCGAAGATCATGTTCACCTAACCGAACCGATTTTATTTTCCACCCACTTTGTACTAGTTTGGGTTCATTTATGCAATGAGCGGCTGTTATAACATAATCTTTATGGATAAGAGTACCACCACAAATGAATCGAGGCGACTCTCCAGCTGAAGAAAATAAAGATAATTTATTCAGAAATAATTTCATTCTTTATGTCATGGAAAAAAAAATGAATAATAGTTACTCTTTGTATATTCAATCAGTGCAAACCATGGATACTCGAAAATACTCGACTCCTCACCTCCTACAATTCGCTCTTGCAATTGACTTCCACACTCTCCTGGCATTGGGAAATCTGATTCTTTGAAAGACGGTTCTGCACAACACACCTAAAATCGAATCCATGTTTGATTTTAACACAAAACGATATCATTAATTTTACTTTCACCAATAATTTCTCTTTTTTTATTGATATTTTACCGATTTACTATTATCAGGCGCCACACATTGTGATTGTAATGCGAATTTTATTTGACTTTCTGTTGATGTTTTTTTGAAATTTTTGACAATTGTTAAAAGAGGCGGACACTGATGAAGCGGAATACAAATGCCTTCCTTCTGCTCTGGAGTCTTACATGGATTTTCTACATGCCAAAGATCACAAACACAGTATTGTTACATTAGATTCTCGTTTAAGAAGAAATTCAAAAACAGATTATTTTTTCAACATTTCTTGAAAGAAAAAAAAAAACAGACACTTTCCACTTCCGATTTCTTTTTGGATTGTTTAGCGATGGAAAAAATGAATTACACCTTATTAATGATTTGCAAACAAATGTCGGTTTATTAAGTTTCGCTCGAACAAGACACAAGTGAATGTAAATTTTACATTTAAATACATCGCAATCTGCGTATAAAGTAAATAATGTTAATATCAACGCTGCCTTGAGAAAAAAACCGGGTCCACACTTACACTACCAGCTATTCGGTATTAAATTAATTTTAACATTATTTGATTCAATCAAATTGAATTCATGTTGTTTCTTTAGTTTGTGTATATTTTCTGAAATACATTACTACGTTTAAATCCTTTGTTTTAATCGAAACAAGACACAAAACAATCAAACGATAATTAAACTTACGTGCATTTGTGAAACCATTGAATAAGAGTAGCAAACTAAAATATTTGATTAACATGTCCATTATTGAGATTGATTTTATGTATATCTTCTCTGTGCAAATGGTTTTTTTACCGATTTTATTTGCACACATTTAAAAGATGTATGAGGCTCGATGTCACCGCAACGGAATTTCAACATATACTGCGACACTGTCTTTTATATGAATCTTGATCTTGCTTCAATATTCACCTTTTACACTTCACAACTACAGTTATGCATCTGGCGACGCTGCTCTTTGTCTCTTTGTTTCTTCTTTTCATTTTGCAATCATCAATTGATCACTTACTAACCAATTTTACGAAATATAGAATTGTTAAATGAAAGACACCAATATACAATACACTGTCAATCATATACACTTGATATGTTTATAGAATGCTACACACAATGTAAAATAATCCAGTTCGTCTTTTTAAAATTGTATTGCTTTATTCATGGTTATTTTCTTCGCAAAGAAACTTGTATAACCACATGCGTCGTATTGAGTTGATCATATCGGGTAATCCATTGTACAAATTATTTTAATGTTATGCAAAATAATAATAATAATAATATATATTTAGAAAAGATTTAATTAAAGAAAAGCTTTATTTCAGGCAGACATTATATTGAGATATTTCCAGCCAGATGACTCAGGTCAGCCACCAGGATTGCAATTTTACTCAAAAAACAATATATTATAAATGTATTTCCGTGTTCGAGTGAAGGATTTTCATGTGATAAGGACTTCATACAAATCAGACGGTATCTTCGTCACTTATGGCTTCATGTGACGTCTAATCCAACCGAGATATTTATCGACACGCTAAATTGCAAAGAGATGAAAAAATTTGAATTTTTTTATAAATAAATTGAAAATAAAACTTGATTTACAGTATAAATTCCTGGGTATCCCTTTTTGCCACATACTTTATGGCCACGAGACACAATACCATTCAAATATATAAGTGGACGATTTGACAGTGAAGTATATCTCATCAATGGACCACCTAATCAGAAATATTTCGTATGAAAACTAATATTCAGAAAATTCACTCATCTTTACATTACTGACCGGAATCACCACTGCAAGAATCCTTTCCCTCAATGCCTCCTACACATATTTGAGTAGACCGTAAACTTTGTGAGTATAATTCATTGCATTCGTTCCAATTATAACCATCAATATCGACTTTCATCTTAATACTACTTGATGTTGCTATCAACGAATAAACGAATTAAAATACTATCTAAAGTAAGTGAATTATGATTAAATCCAACCATTCCAAACATTAGCCGTCCTTCCAAATCCAGCTACGACAAAAGGTACATCGTCCAAATTTCCATCTCTTAAAGTTGACTCAAACGGTAAACATATTGGCTTCAAAAAATTTGTAAATTCTACCGAATTCGATAAGCGAATCAATGCTATATCATTATATTGTGTAGATGAGCTTGGATTATATTCTTCATGAATAATTATCTCAGAAAATTCCATATCTACCACGTGCGGCGCACACTGTGTCTCTCCCTGAGAGTTAATAAAAAATGAAACAAAAATAAATCAAGTGATTGCATCTATAACAAAAAATCTCATACATACATCATCTTCGGTACAGTCGGGATCCGTGTTTAAATCATGTTCACCTAACCGAACTGATCTAGGTGAATATCCACTAAGTATACTTGTACTCACACAGTGCGCTGCCGTTAGAACATAATTTTTATTGATAAGAGAACCACCACAAGCGAACCGTGGTCGATAACGAGCTGCAAAAGAAAACACAACAACATGAACACGACATTTTCAAGTTAATACCTAGTTTGCTCTAATTACGATGTGTATATTTAATTAGCGCCAACCTATACTCCAAAGAATGAAACATTAAAAACAATGGTGATCGATATTAGTAAAATAACAATGTCTTCAATATTATTGATAATATTCAAAACAATTATCATCATTACCAGGGATACTCGCCCGGCGCCGTCTCTACACCGCCCACAATTCGCTCTCTCACCTGCAATCCACACTCGCCCGGTTCGGGAAAGTCAGATTCTTTGAAAGATGGCTCACAACACACCTACAATCAAATCCATTTCAAGTTTTCAAACAATCTTACTACTTTCACTAATTGACAGTCTTTTACCCAATGTATATTGCCATCCGTTTTACATTCGGACTTTTTCACAAAATCACGTTGACTTTTGGTTGATATGCGATAATTTCTCCAAAGCGCCGGACACTTCCGTAATGGAATACACATGCCATCCTTCCCATCTGGCGTTGTACACGGATTTTCTAATTTTTTTTTAAATGGGAAAATCTTTTAAATTATTTGAACAACATGCAAAACAATATATTAAACTTACCTGCATTTATAAATCCACTGAATGAGAATAACATACTAAAAATGATGAAAAACATCTCCATTGCTGATGGAATGTCCTGGTCTGTGCAAATGATTTTCAAATTTAGATTTTATTCGATGTCACTGCACTGGAATTTTAACCGATACTGCTAATTTCAAATGGATTGCACTCTATAAACCCTTTTCTTTTTAAAATATGCACCTAACATTGCTACTGATTAAATCTCCGTTTCGTTCGTTATCAATGACCCACAGTCGATGTTATCAAATGAAATGTGCAGATTTACAAAATAAAAGACAATAACACACAATAAAAAAAAACATATGTCATTAACTGGAAAAACCATATGTTATTTTGAAATTAGGTATGGTTCAATTGTTTTAAGAAACTGGTAAAACCACATTGATAATTTTTGAAAAGTGGTGATCTCACTCTATTCGGGATTCAAAGACTTCTTTAGATTTTTTTCCTTTTTTGGTTTTTTCCTGATGACTCATTAAAGCTTCATTTTATGTCTAATCCAGAGGAGGAATTTGATATCCGAGAGATATCCGAGAGATTGTAATTTTATTCAAAGGCCGCTTTAAGCGATAATGCTAAGTTTTTAAGTTTGCAATCGTCGTTATGTTGCACAATTTATATGATTTGTGCTGACTGTGTCGAATAGAAAAGATCTGTTTTATAATTATAATTTCTTTTGAAGGAGACGCTTTCTATTTTAAATATTTATTTTGGTTCAAAGATGTTCACAACATTCATACAATAGATTGTAATTTGAAATTAAAAAAAAAATGATAATAATTTTTGTTCGTAATTATATTTAGCTTGATTTTGCCAATCTTTTTCACGTATCATGCGTGATGTCTCATTAGTACTTCATTTCATGTTGAATCCAGTAGAGATATTTATCAACACGCTAAAATTTAATGAGATTTTTTTTTTGTAAAAATTGAAACGAAAAATCAAAAATTAAAATAAAGAATCATATTCACCGTATAAATTGCTGGAAAACCGGGTGTACCGCATATTTGAGGACCTCGGGATACTATTCCGGCTATGTAATTTTTATTGTTATTATTATATTTGTAGTGGTAGAATTGTATACATTGATATATATAATAATATTACCCAAGTATGTAACTGGTAGTGTTCTCATCAATTTAACATCTCTCATCAATGGACCGCCTAATTAAAATATTTTCACATTAACAACAAATTGAGAAAATACATCTATGATCTATCTAATATACACATTACTAACCCGAATCACCCGAACACGAGTCTTTTCCCTCAATTCCACCAGCACATAATTGCTGGTGTACTAAACGTCGTCCGTACAGATTATTGCATCGATCCCAATTGAAACCATTAATATCGAGTTTCAATTTAACATCACTTGACGTTCCTGGCAATAAATAAGCGATTTGATTTTTCCGTTTAAAAATGAATTATAAGTGAAGTTATGTGAAATTCTACCGTTTTCAGTTCGTCCAAAACTAAAATTGAATATAAAAAGACGAAAATAATGAAATTAAATAGATGTAATATGTTAGTTAAATAACTATTACCCGGAAACGCTCAAAGAAACATCGTCCAAGTTGGCATCCCTCAAATTTGGTGCAAAAGGTAAACAGACTGGTTTGATAAATTCTGTAAATTCAACTGACCGCGACAATCTTATCAACGCAATATCATGATATTGTGTGGATGAGCTTGGTTCGTAAGCTTCATGAACGTTTATTTCACCAATATCCACATTGACCACTGGCGGAGCACAATCTCTCTGTTTTAATTAAGTTTCAATCGAAAACAAACACAAATTCAGCAATTTAAACCAAGTTCCTTCAATAAATAATGTTCTCATACGTACATCCTCACAGTCTCTTTCAGTGCTTAGATCATGTTCACCCAATCGAACCGATGTTGGTTTCCAACCACTTTGCACTAGTTTAGTCGCGGAAATACAATGCGCCGCTGTAAGAATGTAATCTTTGTTAATGAGCGAACCACCACAGAGGAATCGCTTCTGTCCATCTAAAAAAAGAGAAACCAATCAAGATCAATACGCTGTATGCAAGTTAAACCCAAATTTGTTATAGTTACTCTTTGTATATTCAATCAGTGCCATCCTATAACCAAGCAAACAAAAATAAGACATCAGAAATAGGTGAAAAATATTTGGCTTCAATTATACCATGGATAATCTGTAATAGTTGTCTCTGTGCCGCCAATAATTCGCACTTTTAACTGTGTTCCACACTGTCCCGGCTGGGGGAAATCAGACTCTTTGAAAGTTGGCTCTTCACAACAAACCTACAATCAAATTCAATTCAATAAATAATAATGTTAATAGTTTCACTTTCACTAATAAAATCGCTCTTTACTATTTATATTTTTATATTATTTACCAATGGAGTATTGCCAACTGATCCACACTGTGCCTGCCTCACTGAATCAATTTGACTTCTCGTCGATGTGTGATAATTTTTCACAATTTTCAAGGCAGGCGGACATTGCTGAAGGGAAATACATACACCATTTTTCTGATCTGGAGTTGTACATGGATTTTCTACGAGAAAAAAGAAATAAATGAAAAGATTACAAAAAAAAGACAATCAAGCAAAACGAAAAATATATATTTATAGACTACAGTCATACGTATTCACATTTACATTCATAGCAATCTGTCTACAACACTAATTACTTGCTAGATTACTTGTAATTATCAGTGCTGACGTGAGAGTAAAAAACCGGGTTTAGACTTATATACTTATACATAATAGTATTAAATGTATTTTGACATTAATTGATTGAATCAATAGATCATTTTGAAGCAATATAAAAATCTTGTTTCAAAATCCAACGATGCGATGAGTAAAAACATATTTTTTTATAAAACAACGTTTGGTCAGTCGAATAAAACTTACGTGCATTTATAAATCCATTGAGTAAGATTAACACACTACAAAAGACGATTAATAACCCCATTATTGAAATGGGATTTTAGATATAGAAGATCTCTGGTCTGCAATACTATTATTAGTATTTTCAAATAAATTTTACAATTCACAAATAGTATGAATATCGATGTCTCTACAATGAAATTTCAACAATAACTGCAATCAAAGTCTTTTAAATGGATCCTGCTTTTTAACATCTTTTCGATTTCATATCAACAAATATGTACTCGCGGTGATATTTCCATATATACATACCGTATGTGTTTGTGTATTTTTTAATCTCTGAACGTTGCATGTATCATGAATTAACAAAGTTGTTTTACCCATAACATCTGTAACTGTATACACCGTTTCTTTTGAATAATTTAATTTGAAGAAGACTGAACGGATAAGTAATAAAGCAAGACAAAATAAAAAAAAATCTTTCAGACTGACTGTCACTGCTTATTATTTCTCATTCGCTCTAGCAATCATCAAGGACACATATCCACCGTCGGTGTTATCAAATGTTATTTGTATTAAATTCTCCAGACAATATATATACGTTAGCCAGCTAAATGGGCTAAAACAATTGACGTTATTGTTTTAATGATGAATCACTTTCTTGTTTTAATTATAAATATCTCCAGAGATGGAAAATCCAATCCAAAAATTGAAGACAAAACAATAACAAAGGCAACCAATATCACAATTTTTCGAATAGCTTGACAAAGATTGATTAATAAATCATGCCATAGTTGGAGTTTTTCATGATAATTTGATCATGTCTCCCTTGTCCTCTGCAGCAAAAGTCAAAGCAATCAATGTGTATTCATGTTTTTGTTATTTATTGTGTGATAAAACTCAAATCACTTTGTGCTAGGGGCTTAATACGGCAAAAAAATTCACAGGAATTCACGTAAATTCACACTTTTGAATCGAGTGGTTATTGATGAGTTCGGTGAATTCGTGTGAATAGAATGAAATGTGTCAAAGTAATAAAGTGAGGTTATGATAACCGCAATATTTTTTATGTATACATTTTGAAAAAAAAAAATTTCATCACTTTAAACAAAAATTTAAATATCATTTTATCATATATCATTTTTTCACATGCGCCATTTTTCTGCTCAAATTATTTTATATATCATACTTTATATCGCGGAGACACGTAATCGAATTCTAGGGGGGAGGGGTGTAGTAGGTGAGACTGCCACAAAAAACCCTAATCAAATCGAAAGAATTTTTCTCTCATAAAAAACGCTAGGAAATCGAAAGATTTTTTACAAATTTCCCGGGGGGTCCGCAAACGTCTGGGGGGGGGGGGGGGGGGTAAATTCGACCAGCGTGAGAACCTATGCCCATTAGAATTGATATTTCCGAAAAGGCCTTATAATATACAGGCTGTGTGTTTTGTATAATTTCAGCAGGCACTGCTATTTCTAGCACGATAGCTATGCTCTGCCTAAGTTTGACGCATTGCATACCGCATTGAAATCGATGCCTGTTTACAGTGTGTGTTCATTACGCGGCAATAGCGATACCGTGTATTACGCAGCATTCATGCATGTGTATTGATGGTTTACGGTGTCGCTATTGCCGCGTAACGAACACACACTGCTTACAGCAGTCACCGATTTCAATGCGGTATGCAATGCGTCAAACTTAGGCAGAGCATAGCTATCGTGCTAGAAATAGCAGTGCCTGCTGAAATTATACAGAACACACAGCCTGATAATATATCCATGGATAAAATCAATCTTATTTACATTTTTATCGAAGTCCTATGGATAAAATCAAGATGTATCATATACATTCACTTCTTCTCAATTCTTTGAAGCACATAAAAGTCACACCGATAAGTAGAGAATTTGTTTTTGGATTCAAGTGTATGCTTTTTTGGGGTTTAATGTTTTTGGATAACTGAAAGACTATGAATTTCTTCCTATTGGAGTTCCATTTTATTTTTGTCCAAGTTTTTATAAATTCTTTCCAGCGAAGTTAATGGATGGTGTACATCTTCATTCTTAACATATTATTTGAATTCAGAAAATTCGTATCCGATTGGGAACATGTCTGCTTCGGCGTCTGAATCTTCGGCGTAATAATCGTCCGGCAAAGCCAACGGATCCCAACGGCCTTCACTGTTGACTTCGAAAGTTTTATTGAAGTCTTCGCGGAATTCGGGTTCGAAGACGTTTTCATCGTTAAAGTCCATTTCTTCAACGAAAGCGAACATTTCTTGTGAGGTCAGAAATGGAAAAAGCTCCCCGTTTCCCGCGGAAAAATGAACAATAGAGTAGCTAGATAAGATAGGTAAGTATAAATGAGAAAGAATTTATGTGCGATAGAAGTTAGTGTATTTAATGTGCTAACTTACAGCGTCCAGATAGTTCCGTCCTTCGATGCGGCGGGTGTTGCCTTTTTTCGCACAAATGCCACAACGGTGTGGTTGCCGATAGATATTTTTATCAATTCTGGAATTTGGCGTCATTTTCATGTACATAACTTTCGCAGTAAGCGCGCAATTCCGGGTCGCAACAATTATAAATTTTGCGCATACACAGCAAACAATTCCGATAGAGGACTGGGCACTCTGTTGCTTGTGTTCGACGGGTACCAAACAAAGTGAAAGTTCCAGCTTGATGGGCACTTTTTCCTTTGCAATCGATTGTACAGCTAAGGAAATGACAATGATTATGAATTCAATTCTTTTTGTATGAATATTGTGTAAAAAGGTAATAAAGAAGTTGATGTATAGCGCACACTTACATTGTCCAATTTCGTAAATTCTTTAATTCATCCTTTTTGTTGAAGATGCGCATGTTTTGAAAAATTGTTTTAAGCACACGTGTAGCGACTTCCTTTGAGTCGCCGGTAGAACGACGTCGGTGTAATAGCAATGGCGAATCTTTCCGTTTCCGTTTACCGCCAATCCCACTTGTGGTTGCCGGTAATTGAGCGACCGAACCTGATGGTGTCGATGATGAAACCGGCGTCGGTTGTACATCGAGCATTATATTTCGATCGGGACCTCGTTGGGATTTAAACACAGGTCGAGAGGTTTGTTCAACTCCCATATCCTCCGACGACCCACCCGGTTGCGCTGGTGATGATGCGCCCGGTGGTTGAAAACCTCCAAAGGTCTCATCCATTTGGTGTACTGGTCGAATATATTCATTATATGAGTGAAAAGAAGTTGATGTCTAATATGCATTATTTTCTTACCCATGTCTGCTTCTCCTTCATCGTCAGCTTCTGGCTCGTCGTGTTGTGGTTCGCTACCCTCATCTTCTTCATCAATTGTCATCCTTGCCACTTTTTCAGCCGGCGCACCACCTTCTGCAAGCTCTTCTTCATCTTCACGATATAAGACGATAACTTACAAATTCGGCGAAAAGTTTGCCTGTTTACCCTCAGGTAGCTGGTATGGATATGACGCGATTTTCGCAACGCGAATACGCCCGGCCAACGTATGCAAAAACATGAAGTGCGTTTTAATTGCTTGCTAAGGGAAAGAAGTTTTAGTTAGTTTATTTTTGGTTCGTACTTCTCTTATTTCGACAAATCCGCCAGATGCAGCTCCAGCATGGCCCGCCATGGCAATTTGATTCATCACCTTCACCAATTCCTTACCGAAAGAAAGGTGAAGGGCGTAATTTGAATAAGGGCCGCTTGATCCATTCCAGGTTCACATACGAAATTGTCCCATATTTGTCACTTTGAAAAATGTTGTCGGCCGGCACCAAAGAGATATAGTGGCAAAACATTTGCGCACAAAAATGCGAGGCGTGGACGTCCCGATTAAGAAGGACCAACAATTCCGTCTGTCTATCAATTTCCGATCAATTGTGCTTGGATCATCGGGAGTGTTCGAATCCTCCTTCCACCCACGATTCCAATCATTTGAACCGTTTTTAAATCGATTCTGCTTCTGATTCGACAATCCTTTGATTTGGTTTTTTTTTTCTTTTACAATACGCCGTTGTTGGATCGCAATTTGTGCTTCTTCTATTTTTATAAATTGTTACAAGTCGAATATGGGAATGTCCCACTAAAGGTGCATTTTCCAAGGCGACGATTGCAATCGTCCAAGATTTTTTTTCAAATCGGGCGTCAAAAAAACCACAAATAATAAATCGTTCACGATTTTGGCGTCAAAAAAACCATTGATCTCAATCGTTAACGATTTTGGCCAACGATTTGAAATCGTACACGATTGTAATCGCCGCCTTGGAAAATGGACCTTAATTATAGATATCAGCCACCATGAGTCCCTGTATATTAATATAGTCGAGAAAAAAGTCGCACAATAATGCGTCATCTGTTGACGTGGTTATCAATGTATGTAATTACAAAGACAGAATTGTTGGATGGTGTCTTGACTAAATTTTGATATCGGTTGTTTTCAACCACAATTCGCACACGTCACCAGATGGCGATTTTACAATATGGCATCTCTCAGTCATGATGGTTGATAGATATTTCCAAAAATGGAAAATCCAATCCCAAAATTGAATACAAAACAATAACAAAGACAACCAATATTACAATTTATCGAATAGCTTGACGATACATTTAATCAATTATGTCAAAATTGAAGTTTTTCTGATACCACTGAAAAAATCATTTCATATGATAATTTGACCAAGTGTCCTTGTCCTTTGCAGCAAAAGTCAATGAAATCAAATGCTTATTCACCTTTTTTGTGTGGGACGATAACATACTCGAATCGCTTTATGAATGCTTTCGACTTATTTATTTGTCTGACCTTTTTGTCGAAATTGTAATAAAATCACACGGTTAAAAATCTGTTATATACAATTTAATTTTAATAAAAGACATTGATTATTTGTTCATTGTGGTTGTTTTTTTGAAATTTATTTTGAAGAAATCCAATTATTTCGAAATAAAAAATTATCAAAAAAATATTCGTGGAATTTGTTTTCATTCAGATTCTAACATGACTTAAAATCCAGTCCAAGTGTTTATCGATTCTGGTGTAAACCCCTGGAAATCCTGGAATTGTGAAAATAGTCATTCGTAGATAAATTCGAATGAGTGGATTTGTAAAAATAATAATCTTACCTGGTGTTCCACAGATTTTTGGTCCAAATGATACAACGCCTACTAAATAGGAGTATGGATTCGCTTTATTGAGTAAATCATCTGCCAACAACGGACCACCTAAACAAAAGAATTCCCAAATGAATTTTTCGCTTTTTTTTTTTTTTGTATATTTGAAGTTTAACGAAACATTACTTTGTGATTACTTAATCTAATTAATAATTATTAATGATGGAAACTAACCTGAATCACCAGAACAACTGTCTCGTCCCTGTTCGCCGCCAGCACAAAGTTGATGATCTGCCAATGTAATGCCCGCCAACTTGTATACATTATTGCAACGGTTTAAATTAAATCCTTTCATTTCTAACTTCATTTTAATTTCACTTCGCGATGCTGTTAATTAGGAGAATACAATCAACAATATCAAAAGAATTAAATTGGCAATTTTATTAATTGAACTGACCATTTTCGGTCTTTCCAAAGCCAACAACGACCACCGTGGAATCATCAAAGTTTTTGTTTCGCAGATATGATGCGAATGGTAAGCAAATTGGGCGAATCTTTTTTTTAAAAATAAAATAAATAAATATTTTAATTTTTTTTCGCGTAATATTTCTAGTTTTAATGTTAAAAATAAAACGATGAGTAAACTTACCCAATCGGTGAAATGAATTGATTCGGCCAATCGTATCAACGCTATGTCGTGAGCTTGTTGACTCGATTCAGATGCATAATTTTCATGAACAATTTCCTCTGCAACTAATACATCTTTCACTGGATCTGCGCATTCATTCTATTAAAAAAATGGATTTTATTTCACAAAGGTGAAAACAAACATGTACATGCATTTTATTACACTAATTTCTGCACAATCTTTTTCACTTTGAAGATTATGTTCACCCAGCCGAATCGAAGTAAGCTTAAATCGATTTTTTATCAAACTAGAACCACGAATACAATGCGCGGCTGAATGGAGATAGATATTATATTAAAAAATGAAATAAAAATTTCAATTGAAAATTATTCCGAAATAAAAAAAAGCAATAACAAACCAGTCACAACATAATCTTTATGAATAATTGCTCCACCACAGTAGTAACCACCACCTTGACCATTAACTATGAAAAAAATGAGAAAAACTATTGTTGGATACGTATCGATATTGTAATCATTGATTAGTATTATATTTACGTTTGGTGTACTTCAGTAATGCCATCCTGTAAAAAAACACATAAAGAAACCATTGTATAATATGAAAATGAGCCAAACAAAATCAATGTAAAAACAACTAACCAAGGATATTCGCCAATATCAGTTTCTTCACCGCCTATGATACGCTCTTTAAATTGGGTTCCACATTGACCGGGTGGTGGGAAGTCAGATTCAGATGCAGATGGTGGAGGTGGAGAGTTTGAACAACATACCTAAAAAATATTATATATGGTGGTAGAATGATTGAAAATTATTATAATTAATACGGGACTTCAATAAATAATTAAAATTATTTACATATGGATTACGTCCAATAGTGGCACACTGTGATTTCCTTAATAATTCCAGTTGATCGTTGTTTAATGTTAGCGAAAGAAGCTTATACAATTCATCACATTGTCGGAGGGGAACGCATTTACCTTCTTCCTGGTTTGGAGTTATACATGGATTTTCTACCAAAAAAGACAAAACAAAATAGAATAAAGAAATCTTTAAAGACAAATTCATTAACTGTTATGCTCTATTACAATGTCGAAAATGATGGATTTATTCTAATTAATGTAGAATATGCAAAGCGATTCAGAGATATATATCTGTATTTTGTCACAAAATCGAGGACCTAAATAGAGTTTTTTCGATCTAAATACAATTTCACTTTTATTGAAAACAGTCAAGTATCATATCAAGCATACGATTAATGATAACATTGACCTTTACCACTTGTATTCGATGGAAAATCCATTTCACTTGCAACAAATTATCACTGACATGGACGAAAGTTAATTAAAAAAAAAAAATGAATAAAAATTTTAACTTTGATTTCGGATATATGATAAAAACGAACTTTTTTTTGTCAAATGTAGTTATTTATCACCAAATTTGTTCTATTTCAAAAGATATTGCAAACACAATATAAAATTAGGTAAACATACGTGCCGTTGTTGAATCACCAAAAAACACAACTAAGCTACAGAAAATAAGTATTATTTCCATTATTATGCTACGTGATCTTGTCGTCATGAAATATCAGAGTTCACTGCAGCACTGGTTTTTAAATCGATCCTGTTTCGTTGAATGCTTTTTTCTTTCATTATTTTGCGAAACAACGAAACGAAAACCTAGCATCTTTTTTATACACGATTATCTATGTGTATGTCACACCGCGTATATACAATCAATACATAGCACGGCTGTACATCTTTAATGGTCGGTGTACAGTTTTATCATTACATTGACAATAAATGAACGATGGTAGTTTGGAATTCCAAGTAACTTCTTGTGTTATAAGCATGCTAATCTGGTCCATATATGTATTGATACCGTACACTCTACACAAAGCCAATGACTTGAATGTCATTTGTTTTTTTGTTTTTGCTATCAATTACGTCCGATGTAGCACAATTTCTTTGAAATGGGAATCCCGACTATATCGACAGAAAAAAAAACAGAGCAATTATGACACGTAAATTTAAAGAAGTTCAAATTTTCATAGGACATGGTTTAGTTCATAGATTACAGAGAGAAATGAAAATATTTATTCTGAAGAATAAAGTGAACCTTATCTCGGAATTTCTTGGAGATTGGATGAGATAATTTTTAATTTTACGACTGAATTTTGTGTCCTGCATTTATTTGGAAGGAATATTAAATCATTCTTTTCATTTAATCTGAAACATCTATCTGAAGATATGGCCAAATAAAAGAATTTTGTTTTAAACACAGTAATCAAATAAAATTCATGAGATACATCATACAAAATACGAATTATAAAAGTGTCTGTTTATTTCATTAGATTTTCCAAAATTATTTGTCATTAGTTGATAATTTTTTTTATTTATTACGCTGGATTCGTTCGTCATAATGCGATCATGTAACATTTTTATGGTCTTATGTTCTGTAATATCCAGTCTATATACTGGTCAACGCGTGTATATACGCCAGGCCAACCTGTAAAAAACACACAAAGAAACCATTGTAAAATATGAAAATGAGCCGAACAAAATCAATTTAAAAACAACTACCGGGTAGTCCACATGGTGATGGACCGAAAGAAACCACACCGGCCAAAAAATAGTAAACATGGGTCAGATTATGTTTTTGTTGAGACATCAGAGGTCCGCCGGAATCTCCTGTTTTCAGGAACAGGAAACAAAAAATTAGTTATATAAAAAAACCAAATCAAATGTTATTCGTATATTTACCGCGACATGAATCTTTGGCTGGTTGTCCGCCGGCGCATAATTGTTTATTTGTTAACACCACATTTTGTGCTTGATACACATTGTTGCATTGAGATAAAGAAACACCATCAATTTCAACCTTCAACTTAACCGAGCTTGAAGATGCGTTCTCCGTCTTGCCCCAGCCAGCAACAATTAAAGGTAATCCATCAAAATTTTTATTGGCGATATCATTGCCTATTGGAAGACAGATTGGTTTAACCCAATCAGTAAATGAAACCGGACGTGCCAAACGTAACAAGGCAATATCATTCTCTTGTGCTTTCGAGTTTGAATTATAGTTTTTATGTGGAATGCGTTCCACCACTTCAATATCTTGTACAGGGTCTGAACAATTGCCGTCATCACAATCTCTTTCTGTTCTCTGATCCCATTCACCAAGTCTTACCCCTGTATGTCAAACAGAAACATCGATATTATAAATATATATATAATTCAATTGAAACACAATGCAGACAATATAATGCATTGACATACCTGATAGGGTCCATTTTAAAAGTTGCAAATCTTTACCATTCACGCAATGTGATGCTTTGAATAATTGAAAATACAAAAAAAAAACAGAATATGTATAATTGTATATTAAATTCCAAGAAAATATGATTTGATCATTTTTTATAAATACCGGTTAAAACATATTGTTCGTTAATCAAAACACCACCGCAATGGTATCCTCTGCCAGTCGCTGCAATAAAATTAAAAAAAAACACATTTAGTTAAAAAAACATATTAAATTGTTTGTGTCAATTTAATTACGTTTTGTGTATTCAATGAGTGCCATCCATGGGAATTCAGTTATTCGCGTCTCTTCCCCGCCAATAATACGATCTTGCAATTGACTTCCACATACGCCAGGTCGAGGTAGTTGTATGGTTGATGGTTGTTGTTGTTGATTTGCACAACAAACCTAATGGAAATGATTTTTTATTGTCTGATCATTCCTTGTAGAAAAGAATTTTTAGCGAAACTTACCCAAGGGAATAAGTTTTGATAGCCACATTGTGCATTGCGTAGATAAGTTATTTGCTGAATCGATAGATTTGGATTTTTAAGCAATTTAAACAGAGGCTCACATTCACGTAGATCGATACAGTAACCTTGGAAGCCATCTGGCGTGATACATGGATTTTCTAAATTTTTGAGAGAAAAAACGTTTCTATAAGTTTTTCGACGAAAAAACATTATCTTGGAAAATACGGTGAAAACAAGGTCTGAATTTTGCTTCATTCTTTTTAAAACAATTTGCCTGTACAAAATGAAGAAATCAATAAACAGAAACGTCTTCTATATTTATAGCGTTAAAAAATATTTGACATTGAGACAGACAAGTCAGAATTTCGATTGAATGTCTTATAATAATTTGTGATTTATAGATTTGCGTCAATTTTTGACTTGATATTTCAAATGAGTTCATATTGGAATCAAATCGAATTATAGCTCTTTTTTTTATCAAAAAACTCGAATAACGAAATAAGTTGAAGAAAATGAAACAGAGAATGGAAATAGGCATTTAAATGATTAATGAAATATCAGATTTTGTGAACGTAACAATGGTTTTGGTATTTTACTGATTTGAGTCAACATTCAACTGATCATTTTGGACTTTATTTAATGAATGACACGTAAACGATCTGCGTTTAAAGAAACGATCTGCGTAAATTTCACTATAGAGGAACAAAAAATCAGACAATATATTGAGCTGACTATTTATTTGAAATGAGACGAAATTGCACGCTTAATGGGACATTTTGATTGTGTGACAACAACGTGGGACCGCAAACATGTAGAGATCTAAAATAACAAAATAGGACTCTACTTTTGTTGTTTCTACGTTGAGCAGTCTAAATGGTTGTTGTCACACGATAGAAATGTCCAATTTAGCGTGCTATTTCGTCTCATTCCAAATGAATAGACAGCTCAATATATTGTCTGCAAAAAATGCTTCTTCATTTCAAAATACTATTATAAATTACTTCATTGTTGATAAATAATTACAGTATTGTTGCTCTCATTGGGTTAAGGGTAACTAATGGTTCTCTAATTGTTTGTCAAAGTGTCGGTTGCATGATTTGTGTGCATTGTTACACACTTTGAATGTATGCATTCATTATCAACAAATTAACAATTCCGAATGTCAGACAACAGCAAACCCTAATAGGTCTTCTTCAAATTTATATAAAACACTTGACGTTCACATTTTCTGATATTTGATATGCGTTGATGGTTTGATGTTTTATTTTATTTCGTTTTGATTCTGTGCTTGATATATTCGGAGATGATGCCATAAGATCATTTTAAGCAACATTCACTCTTTTTTTTACGCTGATGTTATCCGGTTCAGAAAAAATGCGTATATTATTTACTGTATAACTTACGTGCACTGGTCCAGCAGCTAAAATAGCAAATTAGCAAAACTGTAATGATTTCAGCGTAATGCAGCATTATCGGTTCTGACTGCGTACGGTTTGATTTTGTGTCAATTACTGCGAGCGTGAGTGCTCGATTTTCCAATTTTAATACAGAGAGAAAGAGCGATTAACGAATTTCCAGCGTGTAAAACATTCAAGCATACACACACACACACACTTTCAATGTTGATGCTTCATGCTTAATACGTAGCGACGGAAAGTACAGAATGATACGTCTCGAAATGGGTTTTTTATTTTTGCGATTTCACACACAAATTAAAGATGTATGACGATGATATGACCGTTTTTGTTTTATTCGTGTGTGCTTATAAGCTTGTTCGTCTATAATTTCGATCTGTATTTTTTTTTCTTCTTCTCGTAATTATTTCTTTATATACGGTATTGTTCTCTTGCTATCACTGTCGCCGCTTACACTGAACTATCGTCGTATTGCTTAACGGGTGAATATGGTTGCTGCTTTTTTTCGTTAATGTTCGTTCCATTCAAATGTAATCTTAACTATTCCGTATTTTGAATCACACTATATGCTAAATCTAACTGAAAAAAATGTTGTCCACTATATGCTTAAGATACACAACTATTGTTGTTGTATGTGATTTTTCATTTCATATGAATATTTGTGTGTTGTTGTTTATTTTTCTTGTGTTTTGTCTTGTTCATTCAATTTCATTTAAGTGGTTGTCTGTATGTAATAAATTTGTGTTTAACATTGTGTGTTAAAACGAAATAGCCGTTACACCGACCGAAGTGTCATTCGGACAGCACATATTGACAAACCAAGTATTTGTGTGTGTTTAAATCGATTTAAATACACGATTCGTATGGATTATTTTGTTGTTGTTGTTCGTTGTAGTAGTATGTGTGTTATTTGGTGATTATTTAGTGCTTGTAGTCACATCACAGAAGCTGCTATTGTAGTCAATCATGATGTGCTTGTTGGTGTTACTGCGTTGTTTGTTGCTGCTGCTGTTGACGGTTTTATAAGCTATTTTTTGACTCTCTCACCAATAGCGCTATCAAAAAGCCAGAGGTAATTCGATCGAATAGACAAAAACTGGCATTGAACTGGCGTTCCGAGAATTCAAGTTCGACACGTATATAAACACACACACACGCACACAAACGATGCTGTTTGGTTTGCCAGTGTGTATTTTTCGAAGTCATTAGAACATATATTGATTTAATATTAAATTTGACTTAAGGACCTGAAGATCAGGTTATCAATTTATATTTACATACATTCGCAACTCACCCAAGTGTTGATTCTTCTCTCGATCATTATACATATTTTGCCATTGTAAAAATTCTATTCAATTTTGTAAGAAAAAACTCAATTGAAATTTTGTTTCGTATAAAGTATATCTCATTTCGCATAAATAGTGTGAACAATTTCACAATAGATTTCTTTTTGGAAATTCCGTTCTATTGCCGAGATGGCCGAATGTTACTATTGTATAGTGATGGCATATCAATCAATTGTTGTGAGCACCAAATGCGGTGTTTACTCTTTAACACTTTAGCGATTTATTTAAATTTATTTAAAGTGCCACGAGTTTCGCGAATACATCAAACATATGAGTCTGGGAATTTATCGCATTAATTTAATTAAATGTGTCATAGGTACGAGGGTTGCTCCATAATTTTTTTTAAAAACATATATAACACAGTTGTTTTTTGTCGAAAATGGTTTTATTGTTTTTCAAAATATTCCCCGAGATGATCGATACACTTTTGCATTCGATGAAACCATTTGTCATAGCATTCGTGCCACTCCGAAACTGATATCTCCAAAACGTGTGTTTTGAACGCTTCAACTGCTTCTTCTGGTGTCGAAAATCGTTGACCACGTAGTTTTTTCTTCACGCTTGGGAACAAAAAAAAGTCATTGGGTGCCAGGTCAGGACTGTACGGTGGATGACCCATCAGTTCGATGTTTTGACCGGTCAAAAATCGAGTAGTTTGAAAAGATGTGTGAGAGCTCGCATTATCGTGATGAAGAATTATTTTGCGACGGTGGTTGTTTTTTCTTATTTCACCAAACACTTCGGGCAAACAAATGGTGGTATACCAATCAGAATTGACGGTCTTACGATCCTCTAGTGGAACGGTTGCCACATGACCACTTCTCCCGAAAAAACAGGCGACCATTCGCTTCGAAGTGCTTCTTGCTCGAACAACTTTCGTTGGGTTATCTTCATTTTGGAAGACCCATACAGTCGACTGCTGTTTCGTTTCGGGCTCATAGGCATATATCCACGATTCGTCACCAGTGACGATTTTATTAACGTCTTTTGAAGCACCACGATTGAATTTCTTGAGCATTTCTTTACACCAACTCACACGAGCCATTTTTTGTTCATCGGTCAATTTATGTGGGATCCAACGAGAGCAAATCTTTTTTACGGCTAAATGTTCATGCAAAATTGTATGTATGCTGTGGGATGAAATGCCCAAAGATGCCTCAATCTCACGGTAGGTCACATGACGATCTTCCATAATCAGTTTTCTGACAGCATCGATGTTTTGTGGCACAACAGCCGATTTTGGACGACCTGTATGAAACTCGTCTTTGAGCGAACTACGACCGCAACGGAATTCTCGGTACCAGTTATAAATTGTCTGAAGGGTTGGTGCTTCATTGCCAAAGGCCAAATGAAGTCGATCGAAACACTGTTGTTGAGATAATTTACTTCGAAAATCGTAGTAAATCATTTTACGAAAATCTTCACGTGTAAAATTCATTTTTTTGTTGAGTCGCAGTTTACCAGTCACTGTAAACAATACAAATAGCGTTCGTACGACAAAAGGTTCAGGGCACGAATACATACCAAAACATCAAACTTTACGAATATGACAATGGTTTACATCGGGCAACACTATAAGTACCATTTTAAAAAAAAATATGGAGCAACCTACGTATTTAGGCTCAATCATTCCGGTTTTCTTGAACAAAGAACAACCGAGTTATCACATCACGGCATATTATGTGCATGTTTTTTTTTCTCTCATTCTCGTTTGCTGTCCGTCATTTGATTGAGCCCAAGGAGAGATCTTCAGTTTCAGATCTTCTACAAAGTTTGCATGTCTCGGTAATTTACGATTCACACCCATTCATTTAAAAGTCATGCAAGGTGCATTTCACGTACGAATGTGTAATAAGAAGCATTTAACCAATACAAAATTATAAATGAAACAAAATATAGTATATATATTGCGAACAATTTAATATTCAAGAAAAAGTGTATTTTTATGTGATGTTAATATTTTCATGTGAAATTCATAGATTTTATTTTGCACTTTACCTAAAATCTTGGATTCGATTTAGTGATATAAAAAGGAAATATTTGTCGATTTGTGACATTGTTTGAAAACATTTTCAAATCGCTGCTAGTAGTCCGCATGACAGTGCAATTGATTTTTTGTTTAGATTAAAATTGAATTTTTTTTTGTTGGCCTTCATGATCTCAGACATAAACTATTTTCTCTTCGTGATGTTTCTCAATAGTCGCATGTTGGTGACGTTTTTATGTAAATATTTTTTTAGTGTCAAATCGGTTTCTTTCATAAAAATTTTTCTCTTTAGAATTGAATATGGAATTGGCCTGACACTGCTATGAACACAAAATGTATGATATTTTCCCGTTGGCACTGAAGAATATTCACACAACTTTGCGATCGGGGATTTACCATGTCAATGTAATTGAACGTGTGAAATTGGCGTTTTCACTACTTACTTATTCCGGTTTCGTTGCACAAATCACATCTGAGTTTGATATGTCTACTAGTTTCTGTGTGTAATTTCTCTCTCTCTCTCTCTCTCTCTCTCTCTCTCTCTCACCTGTTGTCCGTCAAGTCATGGCGCCGGCGGTTAAAGAATCTAAAGAATTCAGAAGGATTTAAATTCCTCGGTACTTTACCGTTAACTCGCATTTATTTGAACGGCCTAAGGTGCGTACATCTTACATATTCAAACGAAATATTATGTAAATATAATTTACATCTGATTCATGATTGAGTCTAATTATATACTTTCCACAATTCGAACGTGTATTATTAAATATTGAGTCGAAGAAAGAAAAGACCGCATTAGATGCACGTTTGCAAATAATTTTATTCATGAATTGTGAATTTAATGTAATTTGTTTTTGATATATCAATGCATTGCATTCAAAATAAAATCCATATAACTAGAAACTTTTGTATAGACAGCTGGTGCAATACCACATGCAATTGGCCCATAAGAAACAATACCGGTAATATAGTATCTTGGCCCACCATTAATACTATTTGCAATTTGCATCAGAGGTCCGCCGGAATCACCGTTACATGAATCTGAAATGAAAACCATTAAGTAAAGTGTAAGCGAAATTCGGTCACCATTCATGTGTGCGGTAAATACCTTGGTTCAAGTTTGTGCTACCAGCACATAACTGAGTTTTACCACTAACTGGCAACTTAGTCTGATCACGACAATAATCCATGTCCAACAATGGTAACTGTTACAAATATATAAAATTAACATAAAATTTCGAATTTCGAACAAAAATTTATATTGAATTCATTGCATACCTTCACATAATTCAAAATGTGTTCAGAACTTCGTGTTTTTATATTAGAAATACCCCATCCGGCTAATTAGATAAAAATGATGTCGCTTAATTGAAACTTCATTCAAACAAAAATGTACTGTTCAACATACCCACTTCACCAACACCACCACCGCCACCAATTTGTTCACGTCCCGTCGGCAAACAAATTGCATTTACCCATCCTTAAAAATATTCAAATTGAATTTAAGCCGAATAACAACAATATTGTTTTTGTATAAAATGAAAATTGTTTACCATTTAAAATGGCTTGACTCTCCAAAATGAGGACACTAATGTCATCCTTCATAGTTTCCATACTATATGTGTCGGGCATAATGACTTTTGCTATTTTAATCACTTGTTTTGGTTCGGCACAAATATCCTCTTCACAATCGGGATCGGTTTTAATGTCATAGTCGCCCAAACCAACCGAATCACTGTGAACACACCCGAATGTTATAAAAGCATAAATAAATTAAAATACTTACAGCTTTGAAGCAAGTTCTTTGCCGTGTACACAATGTGCCGCCGAAATCACATGAAATGGTGTTACTAACGAACCTCCGCACAAACTTATCAATTGATCATTGCGTTCTTAGATCAAAAATTAAAAATTCCATGTATATTATAATGATGAATCCAAATAACGACACAAAAGGCCATATACCTTTATATAAAAGTTGTGCCATCCATGGGTATTGACCCAGCTTTGCATATTTTCCGCCAACAATGCGATCAGCATAGGTTTCTCCACATCCTCTTTCCATTTGTTTTGGCCAATTTTTATGCAATTGATAGTCTTGATCGGACCCAGTAGCTAAGAGGCAGTACATTGAAAATGTCACTATTAATTTTAACATTGTCAACACAAAATAAGATCGATATCTCAATCACGAATAAGTTATTCTCAATAATACCAATTGGTATACCTATTACTTATTTATAGGCTGAGATTGCAATCAAATGAGTTTGGGTTTGTTCACCATTCCAAATAATTCATTGCCAAAGTATTGTTGTGCAATGAATCAGAAATTCAATCACAACAATTCGTTCCATCAAAATGCATTTTATTTATTACGATAAACATTCAATAATTAATGATATTTTTCATTTCACAACAAACGAATATTTTTAATTGATAAAGAGAGAGAGAGCGAGCGATAGAAAGAAAATAAATATTGAGCCATTTGGTTTGGGCCATGCATGCATTGTTCTCATGATACATTTTTATACTTAAATGATTAACATGATAAGAAAAAATGCAACAACTATTCGTTGCAAGCTTATAAGAGATCCTTACTTAAAGCTACCAGTATTGTTTTTCCATGCAAGGGAAAAAAGTGGACATTCTGTATGTATGATGTACTGACATCTAGACAAAGTTCCAATAGCACGGAATTCTTGACCGATATTCGAAAAAAAAAAATATTGAAAATGGGTGGGCATCCACTTTGACGTGAGAAAATCAACATACATTAGCCATAAAAGCAAAAAATGGACATTTCCATTTTGCACATTACAATTGTACGCACTTAAATATTAAGTAAATAAAATCACAGTTGTATAGTGTTCAAAATCCAGTCCAAATGTGCTGACGTACGTGAATAAACGCCTGAAATTGTACAAATAGTAATTTGTAGATAAATTCGAATGAGTGGATTTGTAAAAATATAAATCTTACCTGGAAACGCCGCAACACCGCACGTTCGTGGTCCAAATGAAACTAAGCCCAACAGAATATATCGACCAGTCTGGCTATCTTCTCTCATGAGCGGTCCGCCGCTGTCGCCTAAAATGTTAATGCGTCAAATATAATATCAGCGTTGGCATTTCTTCCTAGAATAAAAAAAAAATAATTTCCACATACCTTGGCACGCATCGTGATTCGTAGTTCCCTGTGCACACAGTTGACTCTCTGAGATGATGATTGGTATACGTGAATTTGCACTGTAGCTCGCATATGAATTGGCACATGATTGCGTATTTACAATTGGTAAACGTATATATTGTAGCATTGGATTGACCGCACCGCCTATATTTTTTTTTTCAATCAAACCGAATTGATCATGAGTTTTACATACATATATAAAGCAGGCAAGAGAGTAGTTGTAAACAAACCTAAAAGAGGTGTAGAAACACCCCAGCCAGCAACGATGGCCATTTTTTGGTCTAAATTCTTATCGGTCGCTTCATATGGGCCGAGTGGCAAACACAAGGGGCTTACAAAGCCTGTAAATAAATTGAAAATGCACAATGTCATAAGATGCCATTGACTTGAATGTGTGCTTGCGAATCGAATAATAAACTCACTTGAATTTGTGATGTGTCGCAATCGTATTAATGCAATATCGTTTGCATATTTTGGCATATCATAGCTTGGATGATGTTCGATTGATTCAATTTCATAGTCTTGTGGTTCATTACATAAATTGCGGTTATTATCGCACAAATTTGACCTTGAATCCAATTCACCGAGTCGCACATAAATCCTTGAGTTAATATCAACATTTCCATTAGATTTAAAAAAACAAACAAATAAATAAACGAACAAAAAAATCGACTGAAAATACGTACAATTCTAGATCGTCCACAAGATTGCTGACACAATGTGCTGCCGTTAAAATATATTTTTTACTTATTACGGAACCGGAACATCGATACGAAACCAGTTGTGATGCTGAAATAAACCGTGTAAAAAAATGAGAATCAGCACCGATTATTATATTATAATACATATGCGACCAATATAAAACTTACTTCGATTTCGGTAGGCCAGTCGTGCCATCCTTCAAGAATAAAAGAGACGAAACCAATCATTTAAACAGTGATAAACAGTTGTTGTGGTTAAAATGCAAATTACCATGGAAATTGTCCGGGAACAGCATCATCGCCGCCAATAATTCTTTGTTGAATTGAAATGCCACAATTATCGGCATTGATTAAACTTAATTTTTCGATTGAATGTTTTGCAACACGCGACGGAAATGTTGGCACATCATTCACTGAATTTGGCAATGCATGCGGAAAAATGAAATTCGGTTCGTTGTCAACGTGATTGAAATCGAAACCGTTCGCTTCATTCGATATATGATGAAAATTTTTCAATGGTTTTACATGTTGAAAGTATGGTGGAATATGAAAATCGGGTGAAAAACTTGGCGGACAATTGCGATATGTGCGCGGATCTTCAAAGTTGAAAAAGTGATATTTTTTTGTTTTGCGTGTATAGAAATTCTTATCGGTGATCGGTTTTTTTGGACTATGAACGTTATTTGGTTGTTGTTGCTTCGATTGGCCCCAATTATCGTCATCCGGATTCAAACGATTGAATAGATTTGTTGGTTGTTTTTTTATTGGTTTCGTTTGACTATCCCAGATCCATGGTTTTTCCGTTGTGTGAACCTCGCGAAAAGTGCGTCCGTGCGGCAGCACATCGGATGATGGACAACATACCAACGGATCTACGCCAGCAAAACCACAAGCTTTCTTTCGAATGTCCTTCATGAGAGTTGATGACAGTGGTTTCGGTGCCGAACGTAATTTTAATGTAAATATTGTACATTCTTTTAATTTAATACAGTTACATTGTGGCCATTGATATGTTGGCATTTTATATTGATTCAGACCCATTGGTTCATCTCTGTCTACATAATGCGGCAGCATCGGTGCGTCATCATAAAAAAAATAGTCTGGATTCCATGAATATACAGGCCACACTGTAAATGAATAAAAGTAGTAGCGAAATTAACAAGCCCAAATGATGAATCATCAATTTGATTCAATTCCAAACTTCAGAAATGTCTTTTTTTAATTATTTCAGTTTGTCACACTTTCGCTTGAACCTTTGTCATATGCCTGATTGCACACATGTTCCGTTTGTTTATTCGAAAAATCCCCGAATTATTTATAACTTACCGGTCATAGCACCAATAACACAAATCCAAACAATTTGACCAACATTTAGCGAACACATTTTATTGTATTGTTTTGTTAAAATTTTCGATAATTTTCACTAATAAATTTTTTTTTTGTTTTAAATTTTCAATTTTAATTCCATCAATCTATGGAAAATTTGTTTGATTTTATGAAACACTGTATTTATGAGTGATACAAGACAAAGGTCGTGCAAGCTATCGATAACATTTAGAAAAAAAATGTCTATGTTTTTAATTGATGTTCTTAAAACTAAAGTAGCTTAATTAAAACGTGATCGCACTTTAACATTAAAACTGTGTAATCCTTCACTTTTGATTTTCAAATATAATGTAAATCCGAACGTTTTTTTTTTTTTTTGTTCAATGTTCAAAATGAGGCGTATTTCGTTTTAATTGTTACGATCACTTCATTAGTAACAAAGATGCAGACGGTAAAGTGCATATGACGCTTGGTTGCACAAAAAGTCTATAACCATTCAACTTAATGTTAAACTAATTATGGGTACGCAAATTAAACAGCTGCGTTCTATAATTCTATGCACAGAAAAATGGTGGAGTTCTTTACCGGTCGCGTGATGAGTTCGAACTGTTTTCAATTTATAAAGTGTTTCAAGTCCATATAGTGTGTTTGTATGTGTCAAATCAGTGGCGTTGACTCTGTTTTGATGCGCAATCCACTTTAAATATCAATGTTGTTGTTGGTTATGTTGTGCTGTTTTACTATTGTCGCTTTGTTTATGGTTTTTCCTCCTTGTATTTTTATTATAGTTGCGGCGCTTGTTACTTTCCCATTTCAAGTGGTCATGTTCGTATACACGATCAATGTATTAATACTGTATTTGTAATGGTCATGTGATTACAAAGAGCAACCACTCATTTTTTCTGTGGGTGATTTTTTTTATTCAATCGTCTTGGAAAATGGGGATTTAATTGGGTTATTTTTGTTGCAGTAAAATAATTGCATTTACAAATAAAATTGACGAAAATTGACGACGACCGCCAAATAAAAAAAAACTACCGAAATGTTAAAACGGAAATCGAAAAAGCCGCTTATAAATGGACATGTTCGAATGGTATTTCTTTTTTTTCTGATCGCATTGTCGGGTGTATCGTACGCTGTGTTCATATTTATTTATTTGCTTTGATTCGTATTTGATGCGAAACATCAAGAACTGGTTGCAACCACATCATTAACATTTTAAACATCTCTTAAAAACTGTTTCACACTTAGTCTAGAGATTGTTTTGTTTTTGCTATTATTCCAACCTGCTCGAATTATTCGCACTCTTATTATTGTAAAAATCCATAACATGTTCAAAAAACTGTGTATAATTTTGTATGTTAAAATGATGCAGCGATTTCAGTGCATACAATAACGATTTACCTGTGTACTCAATGGAAATGTGAATGCTCGCTCGCTGATACATCTTTGCGATCGTTCATTTTATTTTTTGTTCATTTGTCTTTTTCTATCTGGTCTGTTTGACAACCAAACCGCAGTAATTGACAATGAACATGAAGTAAGAGTGCAAAATGTAAACTTGGTGCAGACAATTTTGAACGATAAAAACCATCATAAACACCTATTTGTCGTAAAATTGAATGTTTATCGTTCTTTTTGAATCGGTAATGTATAAAAGTGAAGCAGCTCTTTGTTATAAGTGTAATCGAATGATTGCATTGCGCATATTATTCATCATTTAATTTGTGTGTGTGTTTTTAAACATAAAATTCGTGTAAAAGCGATGACAATCATGATTCAGAGTCATGAATTTTGATATCGAAAGGAATTCGCGTTACTGGACATGGACATATATTTTCATGAATATTCATATTGAATCATATGGTTTGATGTAATAAACAGTCATATTCGTTTCATTGGAATATTGCGGGAGAAAGAAAAAAAAACCATTCTGATTCTTTCCAAAAAAAAAAAAATTGAAAAATTTCCAGGGCCTACAGTTAATGCGGTGATTAATCCGATAACATAACTAACATAGACGTCAGCAATTATCTATTGAAGCACCATTTCTACAATGATGGGGACACAATGATAATAATCGAATTTAAATTTACCGTAAACATTGTGTCACATATGTGCGTGAGTCATTGTTTTTAAAATGTGTATAACTATATTTAGGCGGAATATTTCGTAAATAAAGAGAACATTTGATCAAACATGGTGTACTTTCGTTATTCTTCATGCGATTAATTGGATAAATGTACTTGTTGCAAATCACTTCTCATTTGCTCAAGAATGTTTTAGTTTGGTAGCATTTAAATGTTTGTGCACAACAAAAGGTAATTCACATGTAAATTAACACACAAACAATTAATTACGATTTTCAGCAAAAGACGGATGTTTCTTTGAGCCGCTTATGATAAGTACAATGGCTTTTAACGTCAATTTTCGGTCACCGTTTTTGCATACGATTTTTTGCTCTCTCTCTCTCCCTCTCTCTCTCTCTCTCTCTCTCTCTATCTTTCTAATTCTATCAAAATGCAGAAGAAACACAAAAATACAATGGGTCCATATAAATGCAGTCTTTCAACATCAAAATATATTGTAGTTGCGAATAATTATCGTTTGTTTTCTCCTTTAAGTTAAAAATAGCCACCGACCACAACGAATGACGCAAAGATTTTGTTGGTGAAATTATTGTGATTAGATCGTAAAATGATTTTTTTTCTTCGTGCCGTTTTCATGTTTCACATTACACAGGTATCACAGGTATGGTATGTTTCAGACCAAGAAATGCGCTGCTACGTAATCATACATATTCTTTTTGACGTCATCATGTCACAACAAAAATAACAAACGATTTCCACATCAAACCCATTTCAAGAAATGTTGCATCTATTTACAGGTTCTCTCTTGAGTTTATTGTACTGATTATTAAAGAAATGTTTCTCAACATTTTATAGTTATGTTTTTATTGAAATTTGATTTTTTTTTTAAATTATGTGTTTTTTATATCTCAATCAATATTATGATAATTGAAAAAAGGAATTGACTATTTCATGCAATTCATAGACATTTCTGTTCATTTTGTGGTGTGGTTCATTTTATTGATATTTACTGACATGATCATTGGCATATTCCATGTGCGTTTTAGTTGCCAAGCGAAGAATAGAGGATGCGCATGAACTTAATACCAAATTTATAAACCACGAGATACTCTTCAGAAAATGCTTCAGAAGGGCGATGATAATGAATGGTCAATAAATTTTTGATGATAAGACTCATCAGATAAGTGGTTCGGAATCTATTGCCAGTATCCAATATCTCTTTGATGGATTTTAGACAGTTTACATTCAAATTTGATGTTTCTAATATCAAATTTACCATGCAAAGATATAAAAAGAGAAACCGGCATATGTACATATTAAATTCCGATCGCAAAACGAAACAATCTTGTATTTAACCATGGACATTGACTTTATGGGGATTTTTCTTACCTGCGTAGACAAGTTCCCATTTCAATCCCATACCAAAAGAGAAAATAAAGTACGTAAAACTGAGCTAATTTTACATTTAAAAAAAGAGTTTAGTCTCTCTGTTCCTGTTTTGAAAAAAAAAAACCAACAGAAACCATCGTGTGACGAATGTATTGCATAACTTTGGACTTACAAGTATGAACAATGGTATCAATTGGTTGTAAATAAAACAAATATAAATAGTTGATTTAATTATAAAATCCGATTAAAAAATTCATAAATTTATTCATATATGCATACCAGTGGTACATAAAATTATTTTGATTATATTCAATATTTTATTTATATATATAGATATTGTGCGGATTTTTTGTTTGTTTTATAGGTATTTAAACAATTTTGTATTTGAAAAAAAAAAGAAGACGGTTAAAAGGAAATTTGATGAGCTAAATTACGAATGGTAAAAAATGATAATAAATAGTGCATTGATAAGTAATTGTTTCGCTGGGCTTTAGTTCCTAGTCGTATTTTAATTTGTATATGCTGACGAATGAAAAACTGAGAAAACTTGTTATTATTCCCATTTTTGGTGTCATGAAAAACGATCGTTTCCATTTTTCAATCTTGTTTTTTTTTTGTAAAAAGACGATGTAAAAAGGTGTGAACGGAACATTTGTCACGTGAGCGTGTTGCATTTGAAAAAGAAATAAAATGAAATGGATTTCTTAGCACCGAAGGTGTTAATATGATGGATTATTATTACGTTGATCTCAATTCTAAACACTGTACGTGTTCAAAACAATTTTGTGTACTGTTTACAGAAGCCAACCTCATCAAGTTGGATGTTCAATTAAATTGAATGCGAAGAAAGAAGTCGAATGGCAAAAGACAAGAGCACAGAAAAAAATGGAGAAATAATTTCTAATGTTTGTATGAGTCTATTTCTATGTTTTAAATGTTGAAAGTATAAAATATGCATATAGTAGAGGATTTCACATGCTCATCTGCATAACAATTGAGAGAAAGACAAAAAAAAGAGAGAAGAAGTAGAATGTAACAATGACTTTGAAGACATGTCGTTTTTCACAGCATACGCTATGCACACATACACATCGGCTCTGGCACCGATTGCTCGCATTTAAATGATGATACTATATGTGTGCACTTTTTGTTCGGCTCCAAAAAGAAAGTAGATTAAACAAAAAAAAAATAAACAACTTGTAAAATAGCAGTATAATTGCAAGTGCAAGCACTTTCCTCTCAATTATTTTCATTTCATTTAGGCAATGTCTATGTTTTTTTTAATTTTTTTTTCATATTTGATTTGATTTGTGTGTGTGTTGCTTCTCGATTGCAATTTGTATGTGTACAATTTATATTTTTCTATCGTTTCGTATGATTTTCTAATCATCACATGGCGCATGGAAATTATTTTCGGTAAACTAATTACCATACTAATTTTGCGTGTCATATAACAGAATAATGAGCTTGTTTACTCATTTCCGAACACTAATTACGATTTCGTGTGGCATTTTTGTTGTTTTTTCTAAAATTATTGCAATATGTAAAATAGATATTAATATATGTATTGGAATGACGATTGGAAATTATTTTGGCGCATTCATTTTGCTCTTTCTTTTTCAACATCATTTTCGATGGTACTTAATGTGATGAATGAAAAGAGAAAATCGAAAATAGATGTAAAATAAACAAATGTTTGAGTGCTTTTGACACGCGTACATTTTTTATGTGTTCTTTGATCATGTGGGCCGTTAAATTTAGGCAACGATCGCTTCATTCTGTAGTTCAGCAATTGGTGGTGCTTGTTCGGTTGGCGATGATGATCCCGATGTACCATTTCCATTTGAATATCCATTCAAAATCTCTTGATTCAATTTTTCACCGAAACTCGCATCAATTTCACAAATTTTCTCCTTCAATTTGATTTTATTGTCTTCTGGCCATTTTGCACTCCACTCTTTGAACAGTTTCACCTGCAATTGATTCAAATTGAATGACAAAAAAAAATTAGAGAATATAGACAATTTTCTTACGAAACCCAAAAAACTTACACGGCATTGAAACAAGCTCATGGGTTTCTCCTCAAAGGATGCTGCCGACATGCTGTTGACCACACCATTCATGTAATGTGCACCACGATCTTTAGTCAAATATTCAACAACAATTGGCAAAAAATCCTCACGTTGCAATTCACTCCATTCATTGAACCATTGAATAATGTACCGTAATTCACCGTCAACACTTAAATTTGCCGACATTATGCACAGTTACTCTGAATTTCTTGAATTCGTTGCAAATGTTTTCGAACAAAAATGTTCAACTAGAATCGGTTGTCTGAGCGGCACTGCCAAATGAATATATTGATTATTGTGGTCGAAGCGACTATAACTTTTAACGAAAAAAAAAGAAAGAAAACCGGAGTGATAAAAAAAAACTATCCACACCGCAACATGCACATATACAATGTAATATTCAAATGGCTAAGTAAAAATTTATTGTCACACACCCGTGTCGAAAAGAAACCGTACAATTTATTTGCTGAATACGATATATTGTGTACAAGCGAATTAGTTTCACCGATATCTTTCACTTCGCTCTGATTTCTCAATTCTCGAAATTCCGTCTGGAAAAATGACACGAATTGATGGGATTCGTCGTGTTAAAGTCTTGTTGCCGTTCAATTCGGCAAAATTGGAATGTTCTTTAGGTATATCTTCACTGCTTTGAATGTTTGATCGGATTGATTCACTGTTTTATTTTTCACGTAGTAAAGATATTCAAACAACAACAACTACACACAAAAAATGAAAAAATGTACACAAAATGTTGGTATCTGTCTGTGTTTAAAATGCAAAAAATTGATAGTGCATGAGCTCGATGAAAAGGCAATCAAATCAATGACGACACAACTAATAACGGATCATTTCTTTTCAGTTGTTGTGTTATGTGTCTCTCCGTTTTGTATATAAATTGTGTATCTTTTGTTTATTTCTGTTCGTTGTTACTTGTTTCTTCGTTCGTTTTTATTTTCGTTCTTTTATTTGTATTTATTTGTATGTATTTTCACGTTCGCCGAAGTAGCACTTATTCAAGTAATAACAACCAACTTGTTTATTTTAATACACATTCACATTTCGCCATTCGAAAACTACAACAACAAACTGATTGAAAAGAGCAAAGATTTTTTTTTTTACACTTTTGGCCTTTATTTCATTCTATCATGGCTTGAATTTGTTAGACAAATGTGGACAAAGCGCGTTTCGTTGTTGTGCATATAGCAAATGAATGGAAAAGAGACAAAGCGATACAGCATATGAACGATTTCATCGTCGTGCTTTCAATGTGTGCGTAAAATGCCGATTCGGGTATTGGAGCAATGTGTACGACAGTCAAACATCAATGCTCTCTTTCATGCGACAGCTCTAGCTGAGCAGATGTGTGATTTATATACACTATATTCATCTCGTTTCGGTCGATTTGTTTTCTTATTTCATTTTACGTAAATAATACACACATATCGTTCACAGGCATTCTTGTATTTTATCCATCTAATAGTCTTCGAAATTCACCAAATCACTTTTTATATATTTGGGCCTAGTTAGCGCGGAATTTAAAGTAATTTTTTTTATTATATTCACCTAATAAGGAACACGGTCGTTTCAATTCGCCTTTTTGATTATGACTGACCTTGAATTTTTCAAAGAAACAGAAAGAAATGTAGCATTTTTATAGAATGATTCTCTTTGGACTTTTTCGATACAGCCTCATTGAAAAAACATCTGCACTGATACAGTCGCGTCTCTTTTGTATGTATGTACTGTGATAAGGATGTCGTATTTGTTTTTTTTTTACAAATTTCACTTTGACATTCGTAAAAGAAAGAAAGAAGTTGTACAAAGATCGCACGGCAAAGAAAATCTTATTTTTTTTTAAAAACAATTTTAAAACAATGAATAATATTCTGTACGGTGGATATGAAGGTTCCGAAGAAGATGTGTGTGAAGGTGCCAAATCTTTGGGAGAAGCATTATTAAATAAACTGCGTGCAGCTGGACAAAGAATTGTTTTGGTTAGTTATTGAACATTGGTGCACAGATTCATTGTGTTTCAATAAAATATCATTGTCATCTAGATTGATGGAATTACCGGTGAAGAGATTAGCGCACATAAATTGCTATCGAAAGCAGTATGTTTGGCACGATATTTACAAGAAAATGTTGGCATTAAATCAGGCGATATAATTTCAATTTGTAGTGAAAACCGGATTGAATTTGCCATTACGATTCATGCGACACTTTTTCTTGGTGCCACAATCGCTGCACTCAATCACGGCTACGTTGAATGTAAGTAACATTATATTCTATTCTCGAGATAAACTCAAACTCGCTGTTATCGTTCAATGCACATTCAAAGTCCAATCAGTGTAAAATTTATTTGTTCTCATTTCTCGCTTTCAATTCCAGATGAAATGACTCATGCAATAAATTTATCAAAGCCACGATTAATTTTCGCATCATCGACAAATTTTAAAAAAATCGCTACTGTTTCACAAAAACTTACATTTGTTGAACAAATAATTTTTTATGGTAGTGACAATTGTACAAAGGGGCATCCAAATGCAATATCATTCAATCAAATTACCACTTGTCATTTGACCGATTCACAGTTAGACACCTTTAAATGTGAACCACAAAATGTAAAAGAAAATGTTGCATTGATTATGTGCTCATCGGGTACAACTGGTACGCCCTCAGAATGTTTCATTTTCATTTTTTTTCTTAATTTTCATATTTTTCTTTTTGTAAAAACAGGATTACCAAAGGGGGTGCAACTGACTCAATTCAATCTTTTCATTGCAAATGTTCAATTCCAGTAAGTGATACAATGATAATGCACAAACCAAGATAACATGGAACTTATTCATTTTTTTAAGTGAACGCTTGAGATCTCAAGAAATTCCGACAACCAGAGAAGAAATTGTTTTGGGTAATCTTCCAATATTTCATGCTTACGGCATGTCAACGTATATTGTTCGATTTCTTGGTCGAAGAACGCACATCGTAAAAACGATTTTAATGTCACGATTTAACGAAGCAGAGTTTTTGGTAATAATTCAGGTAGTTAAGGATAAAACTAACGATCATTTCATCTAGTAACACACACTATTGAATGTTAGAAATACAAAGTGACGACTACGTATTTAGTGCCGCCCATTATGGTTCTTCTGGCAAAATCGGCATTGGTTACAAAATATGATCTCAGCTCATGGCATACAGCCATTTGTGGTGCTGCACCACTTGGTAAGGAAACTGAGACTGAAGTGAAACAGCGAATCGGTTTGAAAATTGTACGACAAGGTTATGGCATGACCGAAGGCACTTTTGCATACTGTGTACAAGATGATGAACGTCATACAAACGGTTCAGTTGGTGTATTGTTAAAAGGTCTTTTTGGGCGTGTTGTTGATTTGAACACTGGAAAATCTTTGGGCCCGAGACAAGAAGGGGAAATTCATTTCAAAGGACCAAATATCATGAAAGGTTATATTGGTAATAAGAAAGCCACTGACGAAACAATTGAAGCTGATGGTTGGTTACATACCGGTGACATTGGTTATTATGATGAAAATGGCGAGTGGTATGTGGTTGACATCAGAATTATTTCATATTTTTATTGATTCTTTTTCGATTATTCGTTCTTTTCTATTGTGATTCTTTCCATAGGTATGTGGTTGATCGTCTCAAAGAACTTATAAAATACAAAGCATTTCAAGTGCCACCGGCTGAAATCGAAGCACTGCTACTAACACATCCGGGAATCAGAGATGCGGCTGTTATTGGTGTGCCAAATGAATTGGCGGGAGAAATGGCATTTGCATTTGTCGTTAAACAAACGAATGCTGACATCAATGAAAAAGATGTCATCAATTACGTTGCAGGTAAATTGAGCGCTGGTTATAGTCTAAAAAAAAAACTTTGAACTAATTTATTAAAATATTACATTTCAGAGCGGCTATCAAACCCAAAACGTCTTCATGGTGGCGTGAAATTCATCGATGAAATACCCAAGAATCCAAGCGGAAAAATTTTACGTCGAGTTCTACGCGATATGATTAAAACACACAAGTCCAAATTGTAAATTTTAGAAATTAACAATTGCATTGATGGCATTTCTATGGAATATGGATGTTATTATCATTCAAACGAAGAAAATAAAGTCGATATAATAAAAAGAAAACAAAATAATTTTTAAATTTAGTGACATGGCCAATGACACAAATGCCAGGACAAACGAAACAATATTCTTATTTGTAGCCTCTCTGAAGTTGAATAACCACCCAAATGAATTGATTGAATTGAAAATCACGTTAAAATAATCAACAAAGTGCCAATACAAGAAAGGGTTAAAATAATCTAATCGCATTTTAATCTATGAACACTCTAAATGTATTATTGATATAAACACTTTCTTATGAAATTTTTCAAAAAATTGCGCCCGATTCGGATTATATGCTTGACGTTTACAAACACATTGGTACAAAAGCGATATATGTTTTATGCTGTATAAACGACATGCACCAATACAACCGCCTGAACAACGTCACTTCACACATACATTGGTCTAGAGCTGAATCGCGTGATTTCGTTGTCTGTACATGCAATTGTCAACAAAAAAAAATGTTCCATTCATAGTTGTCTGTTCGATTACAGTATCAGGGCCGTATTGTATTTCTATTATGGGCCCTGGGTGTTGCCATTCATTTCTCTGGTGGATTATGTGAATGTGCCTTCGATTTGTTTGGTGAATGTTATGTATTGAATGCGCATAGTAACACGGTCCTCTCTTCTCGCATACAAGCATACTATTTTGTTACGCTCGGCACATGCCTGATTTTCGCTTTTGGTTTTAGTGTTACTCATTCAAACATCAGAAGTAGTTAATTCTAAATATTTTTATGCGGTGAACATGAATTAAACACTTTATTTTGACGAATTCAGTTTGAAACAGAAGTTAAGATAGAATTGAAATTGGTAATTAAACAGATCTTTTCGGTTTGATAAATTCGGCAATGATTTTTATTTTGGTCTGATTTTTATCACGTCTCAACGACGGCAACAACAAAAAAAAAACATTTCAACATAGTGGTTGTTTCGGTTAATTAACATTGAAAGATCAATTATATTGGTTATTGCGATTCAATCGGTTCATGACAATTTCATATTGCGATTGTATCTTATACATTGTATTATACACTCCATGAAATTTATAATATATAATTCAGTCGTATAATTTTGTCGTTAAGTGTTTTCTGCTCAAGTATTATTTGATTAAATTGTTGTTTCTTCGTGGTTGTACTGCACAAAACCGTGTTAAATTGGAAAAAAGCGTCCACCAGGGATACAACGAATATTCATTAATTTACAATTTACTTTCAACTGAAACACACGCAATACCGTCGTGAATACGACAAAAAAAATAAACAAATAAGAGCCGAATAGGTGTTCTCATCGATCTTAACCCTGATTTGTTTGTACAAGCCTAAACAGTATATTTACATTATTTGTGATGTGTTTTTTTTTACTTTTGTGTATTTTTTAGAGCGTTTGCATTTGAAATTCAAGATTCATATACTCTTGACAAAGAAAAACATTTGTTAGCTATTCAAATATTGAATATTCCATTCAACAAAAAACACAAAAGGGAAATAAAGACTAAAAAAAAGAAAAATGAAATAGCATTAAGTCATTTTTCCACCGTGTCATGAAAATAATTGGATAATCGGGTCTGATATTTTTCGTGCCTAACAAAATTACAAAAAAATTACTTCACTTTTATTACCGAGCTAAAATCGTTTAAAAACCCCAATATTCGTAATAAAGTATTTTTTTTATTGTTATCAGCAGTAGGCATTTATTTGCAAAAGAAAATCAGAAGTAATCTCAATATCGTAAAACAATATATCTCAAAATTCCTACATTATTCTACAATTATTGTTCAAAATGTGATAATTGGAGGTAATTTACAATTATCATATTTACTGAGACAATGAAGATAATAGCTGGGTGTAATTAAAAGTAAATAGAACGCTTTTCAATTGAGACCGATTTCGTTTCAAAAAAGGGCAAATACGTTTGAATCGGTTTTTATTTTTTCAAAATATCCATAAGTGTTCAATGAACTTATGTGTCTTTTTACAAATGTTCAAGTAAAATAAATAACGTTCTTCAATTCATTTTTCTTCTACTTTTGCAGGTAAATTACTATGGGCGAGGATAAAATTTTGTACGGTGGACCGGAACCGCCTCTTATAGACGCGAGTTCAAAATCTTTGGGCGAAGTTGTTTTAAAAAAACTCAGCGCCAATGGAAATGATGTTATGTTTGTGAGTAAAACAAAAAGATCACGTCGTTTTCGAATAAATTCGAAGTGACATACATCGAATTTTGAATAAATTTGATGAATTGTTTTCTACATACAAATGACTCAACTATTTTCATCTTTTGTTTTTGTTTTCGTGGTTGAACTTTCAGATCGATGGCGTGAGCGATTCGAAATTAACACGAACACAGATTCGACAACAGGTCATACGTCTGGCGAAAAGTTTGTCGAGTGTGTTTAATATAAAAGAAGGCGATGTAATTGGGTTATGCAGTGAAAATCGATTGGAGTTTCCTGTTGTTGTGCTAGCCGCATTTTGTTTGGGCGCGACTATTGCACCGCTAAATATCACCTATACAGATCGTAAGTGGGTCGAGAGTTTCAGCGGTTGGAGAGTTTTGTTCTACATTTTTTTAATTGGATTTTATTTTTGGAAAAAAGCGATATTGTTTAAACATTTGCTCCACGAAAATGGCAGCACTGTACAAAAACGAAACATGTAGCCATGTAATATGTCTTATTTTATTTTATTTTTATTCGTGTTTCTAGGTGAATTTAATCATGCCATCAACTTATCGCGGCCAAAATTGATTTTTGCCTCAAGAACCGTTATAAAACGCGCCATTAAGATATCACAACAAAATGCATTTGTACAAAAGGTTATTCTCATTGATACCGAATCGAGTGAAATGGGTAAACATTTCAAAAGCAAACTCACAATTTCATACACCGAACTTGTTTGTTCCGTCAAGGTTAATGAACTTAAAATGAATTTATGAATTTTTCAAATTAAATCGAATTTCTTTTTTTTAAGATTGAAGAATGTTCACAGTTTGTATGTCGGCCTGTGAATATGAAAAATAATGTTGCTTTGGTGCTATGTTCGTCCGGTACAACTGGCCTTCCAAAAGGAGTTGAACTAACACAATACAACGTTTTAATTGGAACATCACAATTGGAGTGAGTGCTTTAAATTTATCGATTTTTTTTTTCATTTGAATTTAAATTGTCATACAAAAGATACAAATCGAACGAAATAAATTTGTAAATAATTTAATACCATTTACAGTGCAACGGTAACTCAAGCCACAACATTTTTGGGACGTCTCAGTATTTTAATGGTAATACCATGTTTTCATGCATATGGCCTATTGACAATGGTTGGTATGTCGGTGTGTGGTGCTGAAATAGTATTTTTACCAAAATTTGAAGAACATCTCTTTCTGCGAACGATTCAAACATACAAAACGAATACTGCATTTTTGGTGCCACCGTTGCTATTATTTTTGGCCAAAAGTCCATTGGTCGATAAGTATGATGTGAGCAGTCTCGTTGTGATTGGTTGTGGTGCAGCACCGTTAAGCAAAGACATAAGTGATGCTGTAAAAGCTCGTTTAAATATATTTGCATTGCGCCAGGGCTATGGAATGAGCGAAATGACATTGAGTGTATTGGCTCAAACCGATGGTTTTGATAAAGTTGGTAGCGTCGGTACGCTACGGCCAGGCACATATGGTAAAGTTATTGATCCCGAAACGGGCAAAGCATTAGGACCAAATCAACGCGGTGAAATGTGCTTCAAAGGTAGTCCAATTATGCGAGGATATATACGCAATGAAACGGCTACAAAACAAACCATTGATGCCGATGGATGGCTACATACCGGTGACATTGGCTACTATGATGACGATCATGAATGGTTCATTGTTGATCGGCTCAAAGAACTAATCAAGTACAAAGGTTTTCAGGTGCCACCGGCTGAAATTGAAGCCATTCTACTTACACATCCCGATATAAATGATGCTGCTGTTATCGGTGTCCCAGATGAAAATGCTGGCGAACTACCATTTGCCTTTGTTGTGCGCAAACCAAAATCAAATCTTACAGAAAAAGATGTCATTGATTTTGTTGCCAGTAAGTGTTAGCCAACATGAAACAAATTACCAATTCTGAATCGAACTTCAATACAAAATATTTTTGTTTTCTCTTTTTTTTCATGAATAGAAACTGCATCGCCTGCAAAACGACTTCACGGTGGTGTTAAATTCATAAATGCCATACCAAAAAATCCCACGGGAAAAATCTTAAGACGTGTTCTGCGTGACGACGTTACCAAAAAGCCAAAATCCAAGCTGTAATTTTTAAAATAAGACAAAAGACAACAACAAAATATAGACGTGCAATGTTTTATGTGTAAATTTTATTTTCTACCATTCATTTATGGTTTGAAATTTTTTTTTTATTATTTATTCAATTTGATAATTTAAAATGGCTGGTGTTTGTGGTTTAATTTCAAATGTCACTGAATTGAATGTGGATGAAATTGGGTTCCATTCATTATGATTAGCTTATATAAAATTGACACTGTGTGGTTTTTAATAGAATTTTCTATACAATAAAAAAATACATAGTTTCGAGGAAACAAAACGGAATACACTTCTTTTCCTCCTATCGCTCGTTTGTTTTTTTTTTCTTAAGAATAGAGTTTTTTTTATATGTGTGTACGTGTAAAATTGACTCAATGTAAAATATGTTTTAGTTTTTAAAATATGTATAAAAAATAGTGTTTTATTTTTATCCTTTTTTCTCAGTCAATCTCCAATGGTCTTTTGGACAAAAAAATTGTGTTATTGTTTTGTGGCGCAGTGCACGTGTGCTGTTCTGATACAGTATAACAAAATAGATTTTTCTTAAAACTAATTTAATGGTCTCAAACATTGTTGAAGGCACAAAATTGACAATACAAGTGTGTAGCATAGTAACAGAATGAGTAACAATCCATTAAAAAAACATTTCATGCATTAAATTATACATATTAGTACCATAATTAGATATTTCTATGACAATTCAAAATACTTTTTACATGCATGAACGACTATCTTCGCTAAATTTTCTTCTTTAGTTTTATTTTTGCTTCAATTGATGAATTTAAATTCTAAAATTCAAATGGCATTAGCTATTAATTTTGGTTTTCGCAATTTAGAAACTACTGTGCTTTTTCTTCTACATCTTCGTTGTCCTGGCATTTGTCATGAATTCAAGTTGATTTTATCATTAATAATTCTATCAATCATATCTAACGTAAATATATGTGTATCGATAAAAAAATTGTGCTCAATTTAGTCGAGAAATTTATTTATTTATTTTTAAACACAAACTCTAAAACCTGATTCTAGTCCATTTTATGTGTGCGTCAATAAAAAATTGGACAAGATGGTTGTCTATTTTTCAAAGTTCCTCGAAAAAAGCCACTCGCGCTTTTGTCGATCCGGACTTGAGTTTGTTTAATGTTGAGTATTTCGTTTCACCGCTACGCATTTGTTCGGCACTAATTATATCTAAGGCACATTGATTCTCTTCAATTTTCAGCAATTCAATTTCGGAACGAAGTGTACGCAATTGATTTTGCACTTGTTTTGATTTCTCCATATATTCGACGCGATTCTTTTCAATTTCGTTTGTAATTTGTTGCATATCACCGCTGGCCACAATTAAATCGCACGACGTTAAATCGGTATCGAATGCAGTCGAATCGGGATTTGAATTGGTCAATGTGGTTATCGATTCCATGGAACATTGAGCCACCGATCGGCTCAAAAAGTTAAGCAATTTTTTTGTCGCTTCACGTTCACGTTCGCGTGCATAAATCAATTCATTTTTCAATTTATCCGCTTCGGCGATTCGTTTGTCTTTCTCTTCCGTCAAATGAAGTACACAAAATTCCGAGTCACGAATTTTTTGCTCGAGTTCGGCTTTTTCCTTTTCCGTTTTCATATGACTTTCGCGCAAACGATCCATTTCCTGTTTGAATGTGTGCGCTTTGTGTTCGGTTAACAGTGCTTCTTCTTCTTTTAATCGACTTTTTTCCGCATAAATTTCGGCCGTCTCTTCTGAACGTCGCAAAGCCTCACTTGCATTTCGTACTTCATTTTTTAATTGAATCAGTTGCTGTTCCAATTGTTGCTTTTCAAATTCGGCAATTTTTCGCAGCTCAATTTCTTTGGCCAATTTTTTCTTTTCGATTTGACGTCGCAGTTTTTCCTCCTTGGCTTGAGCTTTCATCTGTTGAATTTCCATTGTGTCCGGTTTACGACGTCGCATAAATAAATCATGATTACCGATACATAAGTCCAATATCATTTTATTGATACGCAATTTTTGTGAATAAAATACGAAATTTGGTGATTTATTGTCGATAGGTCGAATGGTGAATTTCTTATCATCAAAACTAATATGCTTAATTTCTGACCATTGAAATGTTGTTCGTGGCTGTAATTTATTACCTTTTTCGTAGATATTCAAACCCATCGATGTGACGCCCAGCCATAGTTCGGTATTTTTCTTATTATTGATTGGAAAATAATTGACACCATACATATCAAAGTCTTGAGCAATTCGTAAATATTCCATTTCGGCTTCGTCGCGTGACATCCCTTTGTGATCGTCATACCATGTTTTGATTCGTTCTTCCCACATTTTCGGTGTCATTTGATATTGATCGATTACGCGTTGCGGTAAAAGACTTTCGTTATTATACATGTTTGGTTCGCATCCATCACCGTCACTGTCACCATATTTGGCTTGTACCGCATACGATGCCAACAGTACAGCCGCTTCGGGCGGACAATAAATATCCATCGATAGGATGGCCTGTTTCACTTGTAGATAAAATAAATGTTGTGTTACTTCTTGGACAAGCTCTTCGTTCACATCTTCCGGAAAGAATTTTGCATAGAACATGAAAATACAGCCGCCATTCGTTTGTTTAACACTTTGATCGAGAACTTTTTTATCGGGTTTTAACCATGTCGAAAATCCTTTATTATCCTCATACTGCAAACCGAAAAACCATGTTTCACGTAAACCAATTGTTCGACACACCAAATCAAACAGTGTTCCGCCCGTTGCTTTGTAATCTAATTTAAATTCCAATTCAGAATCGAACGTAATCACTTTCACTGGAAACGATTTATCCGGTTTTTTTCGTCGAAACGGTGCCATCCTGAACATTTATCACCGAATTTTTGTTTATGTTGCGATTTGTGAATGCTATGCGATGCACAATAAACGTCAAATCCACTCGAACAATTTAGTTTTTTCTTTCTTGAATGTGTGGTTGTTGTTGGTATTTCGAAAGAATTCGAAAACTATATCATATAAACATTATTTAACTACATTTATTTTCGATTTTCGGTGTGTATCAGCCTTGAAATTCTGCTAAAATTCCGATATATTTAGTTTGCTCATCGGGCTTATGATTCGTTTCACACCGCAATCGTGTGGTTTCTTTTTTTTAAGTTAAAAAAAAAAAAAATTCACAATGAATTATTTGCTAAGTTCATAAATTGTGCATGCCAATTAGTGCACACAGACAATTCACTTCATACAATCAATTTATCAAAGATTGACACAGAGTTTTTTTTTTTGCAAACACAAAATGTAGGTAAATAATAATATTCAACAAGCAATATGGTCAATTCTACTTCTGTCAAAATTCTGTACTAAACACTGACATTTTTATGCTGATTGTGAAGTTCTAATGAGCGAACGAACGAAATGGAACGAGACGAAGAAAAAAAAAATCATAAAAACAATATGATTTTCAATATGATTACAATATTCTATTTAAAAACATATTTGTTTGTCACTTGCAATGTATTGTTCGCCGAAACTAATGCTGACTCATAGTATTGCAGAATCGTTGAGATTACTTTATCATAATTTCGAAGCTTTTGCTTATACGAAGTTTTTATATAATATAAAATATTGCCCTCTATCGATGGGATGTGACAATTGGGACTGATGGCGCCACCATCGCACATCAATATGAATCAATTAAATGACGATGACATTTGGCGTTTGTATTTTAGACATTTCACATTTACTTAGGCTCATTCACCGGACTCTCAAAACAAAGTGTGCTAAACTCCAAGAGAAAAAAAATACATAGAGAGAACAGAACGAACAATAAGAAAACGACGAAAAGTGTTTCAATCTGTTCCATAATTTGTCTAGTAACACCATTCGTTTGTGCAACAAAATTATTTGAAGATGTCTTATCAATTATATCGAAATACAACATTGGGAAATACGTTGCAAGAGAGTTTGGACGAATTGATTCAGGTATGTGTGTGTGTGTGTGTGTTTGTTTCTGTATTGAATTTGCTGGGGCCAAAAAAGTCATATACATAGTCGTTTATGAAATGAATTTGTTGCTTGAAACAAATCATTCAGCATCAAAATTACTTGTTGCTCTTATGTGTTGACAATTTGCGTCTCAATCAATGTAAAATCAATGGGAATGCGTTCAATTTCGTAATCATGGATTAATTTTAATTAATTGTTTTTTTTTCATTATGTTTCATCTTCTATGTGACGTTCCACGATTCGTCGAAATCATTACCATACATTGCATACACTGAATCGACTGAAAATGGTTAATGGGACAAATAAAGTTTGGACAAATTACACCACAATTGGCGCTCAAAGTCCTATTGCAATTCGACAAATCAATAAATACAGCACTGAATACAAAGGTTAAAGCACGTGTCACATTTAAAGCGTCCAAATTGAACACGTACCGATTTTGTGATAATGTTTGGACATTGATGCTGAACGATGTTGAATTCCGGGAGGTGCACGAATTTGCTCGCGTTGACAAAGTGAAAATTGTGGCGTGCGACGGTAAAAGCGAATAAACAACACACAAACACCGATTCTTTTGATCATGATGAAAATGATAACACCAATGACGACAAAAACACACCATTCTATCTTTAACAACAAAAAAAAAAAGACATTTGATATCGAAATATTCAACTCGCAAACATTTTGGTGACAACGAAATATTACAACAAAATATCTTCACTTCGCACATCTTTTCGATGCTATCAAAAAGGCCAATTAGAGCAATTAACACCAGCAAATTTACGAGTTGTAAATAAATGAAAGATGAAATACCATATACGCATTCAAAACTTAAATTAAAACAACACAATTTAAATGAAAAAAAAAAAAATTACAAAGAAAAGAATCAAACATACATACACATTACATACAAAACAAAAATCAATCACGAATTCATAATTAACATTTTAATCAATGATAGAGCTCTTTAATTTAAGTACACTAGTAAGAATGACACTGTTTTTATTCTTTTATCTTGCTCATGTCAAATTTCGATCGTTCGTCTGCCGGTTGCGTAGGAGTTCAACTAATGTAAATTAAATTCAAATGAATTTTATCTTAAAACAGTGAAACAGACACGAAAACATTTATAAATTACAAATACAATTGGAAAAAATATTGAATCAGTAAAATATACCTCATCTGATAAGACCTAAAGTCTACAATTGCTGAGAGATGGTTGTTTTTTTAAACTGATTTAATTACATTATACATGGTTGGAGTTTAGCAATTAACTTTAAGCGAAATAAAGATGAAAAAAGTATTGACTAAAAAACAAATACATAAAATCGGTTATAATTATGATAAAAAAAGTTCTTTTTTGGGAATCGATGCAAATAACAGAAATTATTTTCAAAACGAATCGCAATCATTGTGAAATTTCTTTCACCCTTCCCCTCGAAGCCAAAACGCAATATGCATTTGAATAAACAACATAGAAACAAAGAAAAATGAATTCTAAATTTAAAAATAAATAAATATAACATTTAATTAATTTGATGAAATGCATTAATGTTTTTTTTTTTTCACATGAAATCGCCATAAGTCGGCTTGAATTTCAAACGAAGCGGTTTTCTATCAATCATTTTTTTTTTTTTGAACAATATCAATGTGTAGTGAAATATCATGTCTGACTTCTTGTTTGAATTGATAATTTAGTTGTAACATATTTAAAATAAATCAAACGAAATTTGAATAACATGGAAATCGTTTTAATTTGTTCAATGAACACATTTGCCAGCGGCGACAATATATCCGTTAAATATTTTGTTTACATTTTTTTTTTTTAATTGAAAACACGTGATAATCTCTCTACCGTATATATAAGTTCGATCGGTGAAGGTGCATATATTATGCCTCCGATTTTGCCATGCAAATTTTGAACGCATATATTTTTCGTATGTGTTTGGTGTGGCGTTCATTAGTAATTTTGTATTGACCCTGAATTTAACGATTTTAATCTGATTCAAATAGAATACAGGCCAAAGTGCGTCGATTATTATGGGAATCAAAATTGGAGACGTCATCCATCGACAAAGACATACACCGAAAATTTCCAATGCAACAAAGTAAACAAACAGCACAAACGAAATTCAAATATGATAATTTTGAAACAAAACAACGCTCAATATTCACACTTTGACTTTCCGGGCGCAAAGTGCAACACCACAAACGATATATATATATAACTACATGGGCATTTGAATGAGAGAACATGAATGTCGATTGCTTGCACATAAACAAAAACAGTTGCATTTGAAATGCATCGCCGTATATTAAATGCAATTATTACATTTTATGTATTTCGCAGTACAAAAGTCATCGCATAAATCATAAATTTTATTGGGTTAGATGATTTTCGCAAGCGTATGCTTTGGAATTGACGATGCGTTACGCAAGTGAATTATGCTTGTGAATATATGCGTCATATGCGTTTATCCTGATACAGAAACGCAAATGACATACACCCATGCACAATGAATAGAACGTTTCAAATTTGGTAATTGAAAATTGAGAAAATGAAAATGAAAACGAACCAAACACCAAAAAAAAATAAAAACACAAATCGTGTCATCATCATCATTGTATCACACATAAAATGGAATACAAGACAAGAGGCGACAGTTAAATTTATCTCAACGGTCGACGAGCATAAATTGTATGATTTTACAATCGAAATTGCATTTTCGGTTGTGGATGCCAAAAATTGGTGCGAGAAATACATTTTTGAATATATATGTAGTGGAAACATACATCAATATATCAATATATGTATGTTACCATTATCATCCTGTGCGCACTCGAAAAACAGATCGTTTATATTTCACAATCCAAAAAGTGGCACGGAACGGTAGCCAAAGTGTCATTTCAAATATTGATGCGACCAATTTTCCTATCGCTCTACATTTTCGAATTGATTAGATGGAGGTGAAAGAAAATATACAATCACGTGTCTAGATGTTGGTGACCATGGCCATTTTCATAGTTGTATAATAACGATGAAGGGATTTAATTTCGTTGATGACAATGATTCATGACTCGAATGCTGCATGATATGCAATTTCGACACAAACAAAATCGAATCAGTTTTTCACATTGTTTATTTGATTTCTATATATTTCAGAAAGCATATTTCTTCGATTTCAAACATTTATACGATTTTTCGCCCAAAATTCCATGTAAAATATTTCTACAACACAAAGCATTCATTTCATCTGATGGAATTATATTGAAATGAAATTAGTGTTAATACCCAATGAATAGGATAATTCCAGAGAATTATTGTTGTCTGCAAACAAAACTCCAATGCAAAATTTGACTATGAAGATTAATCTGCCTTTTCAACCAAAACAAAAGAATTCATCACTTACTAGTATTTTTGAAGCATTGCACTTGAATGTGAATCAGCTTCAAAATGGAGAATGTTAAAAATGTCCACTTGTCCAAATTTATTAAGATATACATTCATCATAGTGTAGCGATGGATAAATTATTCGCATTGATTCGCACACCTATTTTCGGAATGACTTCGATTTTCAAACTTTGCACGAGTAGCAAAAAAAAAAAGATTTTAAAATTGAGTAGCTTTTGGCCAATTTTTTTTATTAAGGGATTCTTTGTATCTCGCGAATTTTTGTATTAAAGCATAAAATGAAATTCAAATGACGCAGAATTTTCCTTCTGAATACAAAATTGATAATAGAAATTATAAAAAAAATGTCCACATAGATTTAGTGATCTCCAAAAAAATGACAGCATCCGAATTTTTGGCACAACTTTTCGATTTTTCCATCAAAATTCGAAATCCAATGAAATGCTTCAAAACGAATTTTTAGAAATTTTTTGTTTTGAAGAGTAAACCAATTGAAGCTGTCTTTTTTTCATTAAAAAACTCAAATTAAATATTTTTTGTTATTTTCGAATAAAAATATTGAATACTATTTTAAACTATTAACATTTATCTATGAGAAGCAAATCTATTCGGTAATAAATAACCCATCTTATCAAATGTCAAAGTCTCTTTTATCCATGGATATTCATGCCGAAATACTGCATTTGAATAAAATCTGAACATTAGACATGATGAGCAATCGTAGAAATCTAAATATTTGCTTTTTGCTTCAATAAAAACAAACCTCAAACATTACAGTTGGCATCGATTGCTTTGATGCCGTTTCCTTTCATTTCTCTCTCACTCTTTCTCTTTCACTCATTCTCTCCTCCAAAATTGTTTGTTTTGATTAGGAAAAATCGATGTAACGATGAAATTTTTTACATGACCTTTCAAATAAAATCGAAAACGTCTTTTATTTTTAGTTTTCATATCCCCTTTCATTTCATCGGCAAAATTCAATTTAACTCATTCCAAATGTGAAAACTCAATGAAAATCAAAGGATTCCGTTGTTTCAAAATGTACATTCTCTTTTGTTCATTTCGTGCACTCACTATTTATTTATTCATTCCATGTATAACGAATGTGCTCTCGATTGAACATATGCGCGCATATCTTTTCCCAAAACTATACAATAATCAATCAAAGAGTTACAAAAATAAATAATAAACAATTAAAAGTGAACTTATATTTGGATTTCCGTGGATATTTCATCGTGTAGTGTGTGTGTACATTTTTGCAATTTTTGAAGCGTCAATTATTTTTCAAGACTCGAATCAAACTGAAATCATTTTCAATTGCGATAAAATATATTTGTATATATAAATAATCAAATTGTATTTAAATTTTCAATTGAAATGGATTAGAATTTTGATGAAAAAAAAGAAATTTCCCTTCAGAAAATTTCAAACTCTGTACAAAATTTTATGCCGCATCCATATACATTGAATTGTATTATTGAAAACCATTGAAATGTTTATTGTCAATAGAATGGCAGCAAATGAGTTTTTTTTTTTTGAATCGTTGTTTGCTCGATAGAAAATGCGAACAACAAAAATATATACAATGAGGACTCATTAAGTGATGTAGGGCGTGCATGTATATTTAGTTTTATTCTCAATTTGTAATCATTTTATGTTTTCTTTATCAGAAAAAAATAACAGAGGAATACACCAGCACATACAACGTAATATTTTTATTATGATGCACGCGTTAAAATCATACAAAGTTGCGTGGTCCGTGTTTCATAAAAAATCGAGGGTGCATTTTTTTTATATAATTTTATTTTATTAAGTAAACAGTTTGTTTATGAGTATATGTGTGCACAATGCACATTGGTCTTTTTGCATCATAAATATATTTTTCTTAAATCTGGAGTTCGGTATTACTACATCAATTTATTAGTTTAAATGTTTGGGTTGTTGTTTTTCTTCAAAGATTTTTTTCGTCTTCATTTTAAATTTGCATTGCAAAGGTGAGCATTCCTCTGTTTTGTTTAACTTTTATTTTGATATTTTTTTCCATAAGTCATATAAAGGGAGAAGGGAAGAGAAAGAATGAGGGAAATTTCGCTAAACGATGATGACAACAGTAATAATAATAGCTTTGAATAAAGTTCTTTGTGGTTGCCAGATCTCAAATATGGAAAAAAAATGGTTGAACAAAGACGAAACACAGAAGAAATGAAATTCGCTTTTGAATGTTTATTTATTGGTGCGCGAGCGAACGACAATCATCACCAATGCTCGTTTCACATGATTGTTCACACTGAATGTAATTTCAATTCACACGACAAACAACAATTGAAAAACAATTTTAAATATTTACTCTTTCTCGCTTTTCTATTTATTTTACCATGAGCCTGTATGGCTCCGTCGTGTAAAAAACTTTATCCCCTTTGCTCGTTTATCACGCACCAATGTTGGTAGTGACAGACAGTGAATGCAAGAAAGAGGGCGCGCACCCGATTCTCACGTATTTAAAATTTACGCGATGCCAAGGGAGAATGGCGCTATAAATCGAAATGAATCGAAACCACCACATCCTATTTATTTTCGAGTGATTTTTCTTCCTCATATTTGATACTTAATGCATAGTCAGCACAGAACAGATTATTTTCAAATGCAAATTACCGCTCATGGAACCATTAGATCGACATAGACTCACAGTTTTTTTTTGCATTTTTTCGTCTATCGCCTTCGACAATTTCTATCTGTAGACGGTGAAGTGGAAATCATATTTTTCATGGGACGTGTATTCAACGGAAAAATGCCGGGTAAAATTAAACTTTATTGAGAAATTTGTTGGCAAAGATAAATACGAATAAAATTATCAAATGTATTTAACACGTTTGTTTGCTCACATTCTCACCCTTACTGCTATCTGTAATAGTAACCCATCTCAACAACAACCGCTCACTACTTCTTCTTCGTTCAATTCAATGCCAAGCGATAACTAATATTGCATCGTTCGAGTTTGGAGATGAACTTTAAACTTATAATAAACATGGTATAATTGCTTTGGTACACTACCGAAACACAGAGTTCAGCGTTCAAAGGCTAAAGCATCGCTAGGCAACACATACAGAGAGAGAGAGAGAGAGAGAGAGAGAGAGAGAGAGAGAGAGAGAGA